GCTTCCTGAAGGCAACTGCTTGGGTACTGAAAGAAAGAATACTAAAGAAAAATTATTTTGATCAGATTCAATAGTGCTTTTCTTACACCAAAAGTCAATAATTTGAAGGGGATAGAAAGAATGGAAGCCTTTCCCATCAAAGGTCATATAAAGAAGTCAAAACTGTTCCTGTAGAATAATCAACTTATTAAACAATAGGCAAGCATAAGGTCTATTTTCCCACAAGTCCAAACTCTGGTAACTGTTCTATGTCAATCGCTTTTTTAAAAAAAACTCGAGTCTGAGTGATGCTTATGAATGAGTAATGCGTAGTTATCTAAAACGAAAAACAGATTTTATTATCCAGGTGTCTATACATAAATGTGTGCACCTGCTTTTTTGATACGTGTCACTCAAGATAATAGAACAAACTGACATCAGTATCAAAGCAGAAATTATTTTCCTCTTCTACAAGGGCGCAAAAAGCTATTCTATCTTTTCATTTGCGTTTCAAGAATACTTTAAATAGAATGAAAATGTTTGTGTATCAGAGAGAGAGAGAGAAAGATAAATCAATCAATCAATCATAATCAAATGTCTTTTATACCCATGGACAAACATGGGTATAAAATCTTGTTAGTTTCCAAATCAACATTATAGAATTCAAAATATAAAGATCCACAACAACTGATAAACTTTCTGGAACAAAATTAATATGAGGCATAATTTCTGTTCAACCAGGCCACTGTGGTATTTGACAACTACAGATATTCATTGTCCCTTGGCCTGAAACATTCTTCTTTGAAGAGCTAATTAGCTGCGATCTCTGAAAGATTTGATGCCAGATCTAGCCTTTCAATGCTTATTTTTCATTAAGAGCGTACGTATACTCTTAAGAATGGATCCCTTCACTATTTAACATTTTCTGTCATGTACTCTTAGAGGAAGGAATAGGCTGAAGATATTCTGGAATGAAGTTGTCCCAAAGTTGCTTTTCCAAAAGGCAAATGGAGGGGTTTTTTTTCCCTTGAAGCTTCTTGGATGAGAAGTGAAATGTCTCCAAGGAAAAAATGAAGTCCAGTTGCCTTTTGAAAAAGCATCCTTAGGAAAGTCATGACCTGGCTGACTGAGAAAATCCATAGATACTTGAATGAAGTTGTTTAATAAAATATTTCCACAACTGATTCTAACTAATAGGATCTTTTTTAATATCAAAATCTTTTCACTTATCTTTTAAAGAGTGTCAAAATAAATGCAGTGGCAGTGTGCTTGATTGACCATAGATATTTAGATAGATATATTCTATAGATATATTCTACTTTTCAACTTTTCTAAATGATAATTGTTGTAAGAATATGGATTGTGTTTATATATTAGGTGAGCAGTTCACAATTTTCCACCATAGCCTAAATGTATTAATTCCTTTTTTGAATGTTAAATACAACATTTTGATGTATTCTAGGCAGTAAATGTCATACTTTGCCCTATAAAACATTGCAGTTAACTTCAACAATGAATCACCTGGTTTTTGTGTCTTCAGTCTTCCTTCTATTTCTAGCATAATTATACAAGATATAAATAAAGAGTACTTAAAGCATAATCCTATGCTTATCTTCCCAGTTGGAAATCTTGTTTTGTTCAGTGAAGTTCAGTCTGTAATAAATATGCTAAAGCTTGTACCCATCATTGCCATTTTTATAATACAAGATTCAGAATCTCCATGCTGTTGTTATAGAAAATATCATTTATAAAATTGAGATTCGGCAGAACATCTGCGGAAAATTTGTAGATAAAGATGAGCATCCTTGGGAACATTCTAGAACATCAAAAAAAGAACATTCTATTTACCAAGCAATTTACTTTAAAACGTTTACTTAAACAAAGCCTTTGAAAAGGAAATGACATTTATACAGTTCTACAAAGAAATTATTGGGTCTGTCATCTGCACCTCTATAACTGTCTGGTTTGGCACTACAACCAAACAAGACAGACATAGACTTCAACATGGTGAAGATAGAAAAAACAATTGCTATTAACCTGCCTTCCATTGAGGACCTGTATACTGCACAAGCCAGAAAGAGGGCTGTGAAAATATCTGCAGACCCCTCATATCCTGGATATAAACTGTTTCAATAAAGAGCCCTCTTTGTGGGCACGCCAGCTGTCACCCCAGCCCAGCTTGACCACGCATGTATGCGTGCCTCCCACTGGCCAGCTGGTCTTTGGGTCTTGCCATGCATGCATGGGGGTGGGGCATATGTGCAGGAGGCAAGGCGCATGCCATGGGTGGGGGGCATGCTCAGAGGGTGCTCGCATTGCATTTTGAGGATTTGCTCCAGTTGTTTAGGGATTGCACCCAAGGTTCCAATGACCATTGGTACTTGCTTGCATTTGCCACAGTCATTCTACTACTTCTAGGTCTTTGCATTTTGTTATCTTCTCCAATTCTTTCTTTTCTGTTCTTTTCTATTTTCTATTCTTTTCTATTCTATTCTAGGCACTGCCACATCCACTATCCAGACTTTTTTGTATTTTTTATCGACAATTGTTAAGTTTGGGGTGTTATGTGACAGTTTCCTGTCTGTTTCAATTCTAAAGTCCTAGAACAATTTAACGTCTTCATTTTCTATGACATTCTCTATTTTATGGTCTCACCAGTTCTTGCTTGCAGGCGAATGATATTTTTTGCAGATCTTCCAATGCACCTTTGTTGCTGCTTCGTCATGTTGTTGTTTGTATTCATCTCCTTGAACCACTTACCAGGTGGTCCACTTTTTCTTTAGCTTCTTTGCATAGGCAGCACTTACTGTCTGTTGCTGTCCTCTCAATTCTGGCTTTGTATGCATTTATGCTTAAGGCTTGGTCTTGTGCAGCCAGAATTAGTCCCTCAGTCTCTTTCTTCAACTTTCCTGTTCTTAGCCATTGCCAGATCTTGTTATCTGCTTTCCCTGCTTTTTTGTTTAAGTACTGGCCATACAGTGCTTTGTATTCCCATGCCTCTGTTCTGTTTTGTCATTTGATCTTTCTTGTAGGCAGTGAAACAGTGCAAGGACAAATAGTAGTGGTTGATAGTGAATCTTCTTGAAATATTCCTTTCTTGATATTAATCTCTACCACCCAGTCACTCACCATTGACCTGCAACTGTGTCTTCCATTGTTCCAACAACCTTTGTAGAATAGAATAGAATAGAATAGAATAGAATAGAATAGAATAGAATAGAATTCTTTATTCGCCAAGTGTGATTGAACACATAAGGAATTTGTCTTTGATGCATAAGCTCTCAATGTACATAAAAAATACATTCATCAAGAATCATAAGATACAACACATAGTGATAGTCATAGGATACTAAATAACCAATCAAATCATTCTAGGAAACTAAATAAAACAATATAAATCGTAAAGATACAAGCAACAAGGTTATAGTCATAAGTAGGAGAAGATAGGTAATAGGAAGGACGAGAAGAATAATAGCAATACAATCTTAGTAATAGTTTGACAGTGTTGTGGGAATTAGTTGTTTAGCAGAGTGATGGCATGTGGGAAAAAACTGTCCTTATGCAATGCTCTATAACATCGTTTTGAGGGTAGAAGTTGAAACAATTTATGTCCAAGATGTGAGGGGTTTGTAGATATTTTCACAGCCCTCTTTTTGACTCATACAGGTCCTCAATGGAAGGCAGGTTGGTAGCAACTGTTTTTTCTTTTTTAAAAAAACAAAAAAGTTTTTTATTTTTTAAAACAAATAAACAATTTAATACATCAGTCATTCCTTCCGTGTGACATCTCCGTGTTGTCTCCAATTGTTCTTCTTTTTATTATTTCTTCTGTCTTTGTTCTAATTGAATCAATTACAACAATTCATCACTAACAAAATATTCTGATTATGGCATTTTTATATATAACTATTAATTTACTTATTTACAGTATATCTCTTTTCTAACCAAAAGTAAAATTGATTTCATATCTTAAAGTATTCTGAATCTTCTCTTTCTTTAATCATCAAAGTCAATCTATTCATTTCTGCACAATCTAATTTTTTAAAATTATTTCTCTTTCCAAAGATATTCTCTCTGCTTTCCAGTGTTGTGCATAAACAATCCTTGCAGCTGTTATTACATGTATAATCAAATAGATATTTTCTTTGGTAATTTTTTCTGGTAGAATACCCAATAGGAACAGTTCTGGTTTTAAATCAATATGTTGTTGCATCATTTCTTTCAGCCATATCTTAATTGTATTCCAATATTTTTTTGCTTCTGGACATGTCCACCACATATGGTAATAAGAACTTGGTAACTGGTGACATTTCCATCATTTAGCTGACTTATCTTTAAACATTTTTGCCAGTTTCTCAGGGGGCATATGCCAACTATAAAATGTTTTTTCAGTAGTTCTAATTATCCGTTGAAGTCTGTGTCTGTCTTGTTTGGTTATAGAGTCAAACCAGACAGTTACAGAGGTGCAGATAACAGACTGAATACTTCCTCTGTAGAACTGTATCAGCAGCTCCTTGGTCAGTTTAAGCTTTCTGAGTTGGCGCAGAAAGAACATTCTTTGTTGTGCTTTTTTGATGATGTTTTTTATGTTAGGTGTCCATTTTAAATCTTGAGATATGATAGAATCTAGAACCTTGAAGGTCTCTACTGTTGATACTGTGTTGTCTAGAAGAAGTGGTAGTATAGGAGGGTTAATAATAAATCTAAACCATTCTTTAGGTTTATTACAATCTTATTCTTTTGGGAGATAGATATTCCATAGAAAGCTTTTAAAACAAACAAATAAACAAATTTTTGTTCTTTTGGAGTTTTACAAATTGTTATAAAACATTCCTTAGGGTTATTAAGACCTTACTAAAAAAAAGAAAAGAAAAGTATCATTTATCACCATCCCAGGTTCTCAATGAATCCATGGGCTTATTTTTCCTGACTGTTTAAAACTTCAGTTTAGTTATACTCAAAGTTTTGATGGACAGAAGGTCCCCTAGATGGATGCAATAAAGAATTTTCTACAAAAGACAGACTTATATTGTACCTTTATTTATATCTGAAAATCAGAAAACCAAACAAATACAGATTTAAAAAAATAATGAAATAAAGAAAAGTACACAGGTTCGTTAGGAAAACAAGTGAAGGAAAAATATTCAAATTATACTTATTTATTTATCCAATTTGTATAGGGGCCCATATCAAACAAGTGAAAATGGGTGGAAAACAACCATAAAATCAATTATACAATTAAAAACAGAATATGACAAGCAAAATAAATACATAAACATATACATATAGGTACATAAACCTAAACATTTCCTGAGATAGGGTAGCTTTTCTTCATAGGTGGATCAACGGCGGAGGGTAGAGGTCACAACTCCTCTATTTCTAGGTCTCCTGCATGGAAATAAAAGGTGAGAAAATTGAAAGAAAGAGATATTGAAATTTGATATGTTTGCTACACAGGTGGAAAACATATACAGGTTTTCGATCTATGGGAGTTGTCCTCAATTTATGACAACAAGGGAGCTCAAACTCTGCATGATCAGTCATTACAGTTTTAAATCAAGTCGCCACATGACTGAATTCTATTTTACAATCGTTTTTACAACAATTGTTAAGTGAATCACATGGTGGTAAATCCAAAAGCAAATTATCCAGTGGCTGGTTCCCTCCCCGTTTTTTTTTTTTTTTTTTTGCCTTAAAACAATGAAAATATCTCAAACTGCAATCATGTAACCATTGGATGCTGCAAACAATTGTAAATTTGAACTTCTTGCCAACTATCCAAAATGTGATGACATTAGTGTACGGTTGATATGACTCGTAACTAAGAAGACAGGTCATAAGTAACCCTCCCCCCTCCCCTTAGTGTTCTCAATAAAGTTACCTTCATTGATGTTTTCGTAGGTCATTCCAGCCTGCCAGATTTCCCTGGGAACATCAGGAAAGCCTGCTGGACTTCATTGAGCTATAAAATAAAGAAATGCCTCACCCTGTTGCCAAGGTTCTTGGAGAGTAATTCTCCTTCCCTTGGCCCATCACTCACATATTACTAACCAGACATCCTTCCCAGAATTTCCTCAAGTGGATTGAGAGGAAAAAGACCACCACCCCTGCACTCTCTCTGGCACTTGGAGGGAGGTTATTTGAGGGTGGGGTCCCAAGAGCTGTGGGGGACTCAAAGGCTACAATTCATGTTAATTTAATTTTGCTATGTACATCGATCCTGGGATGATGGTTTCCACAGGAGAGGAGCTGGTTTATCGCTGGCAAAAACAGTTTCCCATGTGGGTCCAGTTGCTGTGGAATTGACAAAGAAAAGACATGTTTTCTTAATTCTGAGAATCAAGCATCTCGCTGCCAAAACACACTTGTGCAATTTATGATAGTATTCCTTCGAGCTGCCATGGGGTTTCTGGACCCTTACCTTCAGAATGAAAATAAACTGCTCTGTGGTGGGAGACTGTCGGAGAAGGCTCCTCATTGTTAGGCCAAAGGCCTCCTCCAACAACTTCTTCTCCACCTGAAAGGAAACATAAGAGATGGTGCTCTTTCTTTTGGAGAACATTTTTCCATCCATGCAACACCAGAAAGGAAATCCCAGAAATGTTGGTTAAAGTGGTACCTCAGAAAGATCTTCCTCTGTCTCCAGGGTAGCCATCCAGTAAAAAATGAAAAGGTCCATCAGCATGAATTCTATAGGTTCATCATTTCTGGTATGATCTTGCTGTGGGATTAAAAGAAGGAAGAGACATCAGTGCCCATATTAATGAGCAAGCCTCAGTTTCATTTTTCCCATAAGAATAGGATAAGCTGGCTGGCTCAACTGAATGCCCTTCCCCTTCTTAATGACCGAATACCCCAAACAGACTTTTCTCATCCACTATAAAAGAAACAGAACTGACCTGAGACCATACATATCTAGCAAGGCAGCTAATCCGGTCATGAAGCTGTGCTCCTGCAACAGAGCCTGCCAAGAAACAAAAGAGGAGAGAATCAGAAAAGTTAAGCTCAACCAAGTTGCTCCAGAATATCTTCTTTGCCCCAGCCTGTTTTAACCTGCTATGTTGCTGCAACAGGTCGCCTTTCAGTCCAAAGGAAAATTGTTAAGGATCCTTTCGAGCTTTTGGTAAACCTTCTGAGAATTCGTAATAGCTTTCTTCCTCTCCCTTTCCCTCTGATATCTCCCCATCCGCCTTGACTGCCACCCATTAACTCTTCCCCCTTCCCATCACATTTTTATTTCTGGGTGCTGGGACCCTCATTTGCGCACTTTTCTTAAGGTGAAACAGTGCAGTGATCGCACTGAGGACCTGGATTAGGCGATGCTCCTGTGCAACTGAAAGGAGTTCGGCTGTCAGTCAGGGCAGCTGACTCTCCCAGAGTCCCCAGTGCTCTTCCTTTTACAAGGAAAGCTTGAAACCCTCCTGAGACTCTATCCATCTTAAGGAATCTTTTGCCCCACACTGAGATTGGGCAAAAAAAGGACTGGGATTGAAACCTGGAGGCAAAGCCCAGCGAAAGAAACTTCTACTTCTAAGGGGTACCTACTATTTGCTGTGTCTGTCTCCTCCTCTCAGAGACCACTTGCTGCAAGTATTGGCTCATCTCCTGGTCTCTTCTTATACAGGCCAGCTCTTATTGCGCTGCTTGGGAAAGGTTCTGTCTCTCAAAGAAGACCTTCTCTTTCCCTCAGCTATCATTTGTAGGGAAATCTGGGAAAGGAGACACAGATGGAATCATAGCAAAGTTTTAGCTCTCCTCCAGATGAAGAAAAGACACTAAAATCAGCCCTTTGCAGCATCCTTCCCTCGGAGACCCAATTCAAAGGCTTTTGTGGTTGCTGGCTATGTCTATTTTAGGGGAAAGATCTATTGCATTCTCTATATCCTCCCTCCCCAGTTCCCAGGATATAGATAGGTCCATTGAACAAATGTGAAGTTTCCCAGAAGAGTCTCATGGAAGCATAACAACTTTTGGAAAGCTAATGTGGATTCAGAAGCTTCATGAGGAGGGTTGATTAGAGGGCCAGGAGCAATTTGGTTCTGCCCAGCCCCTAAGGGCAATCTAGAATATAGGAAGAGGCAGAATTGGCTTCTTTAGATGCCTTCAGAGAGGAGTCCGCTCCTAAAGGAGCTCCTTCCCTTTCCCTCTCCATCTCCTTCAACCCAAAGTCTGTTCTCACCATGCTGTTCCACTTTATGGAGCTCAATGTCTATCGTGATTTTTGTCTTTCTTGGGCCCGAAAGATTCCTGGTGTCTTCCAAGATGGAGGTTGAAGGACTTGCTGGCCTGGCGTTCCTTCTCTTTGTCCTCCAACAGCATTGGAAGATTTCTCTGCAACATTCTCGAAATCTCAGGAACCTAAGAAAAGGAATGGAAGGGAGTAAAACCCCTTTTCCAGACTCCACCTGCTCTACCTGCTCTGTGTCTGGGACAGAGGGAGCATCTGGGCAAAGAGAGAAGCTCCTTCTGTGTAAATCTCTGGGAAGGAGCCCAGTCCTGAGGGCCTCCCTTCCCTTCTCCTCCCTACCTTACCCCTCTCCGTTTCCCCATGAGGACAAAGGCTCATGGAAAGCCTTCCACCTCCCAAACAAGAAAAGACATTGAGAAGCTCTTTACAGCAGCCCTTCTAAAGACCTACTTACGTCTTCGAAAACATCTTGGCTCTGCTCAGTGACAACTGGCAGTTGGTGACCTTTGACCCTGGATGGATGAAATCCTATAGCCAATAGAATTCCCAGAGAGCTGAAGGCCTCCTTTGGGATCTACCAAAGGATCTGCTCCACCTTTTCTGCATACACTGTTGGCAGCCAAATATCTCTAGGAACCTACTAACAAATCTCTCAAGCTGCCTCTTTCTCATCTTTTGGTACAGTGGCCAAAGCTCTTTGTATGTAGCCTGCCTTTTTCTACAGGAGCTCCATTAAGCTCTCTGACTAAGCAAGGCTCACCAATGCAGCTTTTGGTCAACTTCCAGTCAAAATCAGTTGTGCTGCAAGGTGTGTGTGTGTGTGTGTATCAACTCTGCTGGGTCTAGAGTCAGCTCCCTCTGTTCTATCTGCTTAGATGCAGATACCTTTTTCTGCATGCCGAACTATTTTTTTTTTAAATTTTAAAAAGTTGATTTTCTATTGTTTACATTTTGTTAGTTGTTAATAAACATCATATTGTCCTGGTTATTTTATTTCCTTAGCCGTACAAATTACATCCTTATTCTCTCCACCCTCTTATTCCAACCACTGGTAGAATGATTTCCATGTTTGGTAATATTCTGTATCTTCTGTTTAATCTTCAATGTAAGTCTGTCCATTTCTGTAAAATCCAGTATCTTCCTAATTATCTCTTCGTCTTGTGGTATTTCTTCATTTTTCCAATATTGTGTAAATATAATCCTTGCTGCTGTTAATACATGTAATATTAATATATATTTTTTATTTATCAAATTTTTCTGGTGTTATACTTAATAGAAAAAGTCCAGGTTTAAAATCTACGTGTTTTCCTATCATCTTTTCTAGTCACTTATATATATTTTGCCCAATTTTTTTTTTCTTTAACACAGGCCCACCACATGTGGTAATATGTGCCTGGTTTTTTGTTACATTTCCAATATTTGTTAGACATATTTTTAAACATTTTAACTAACTTAGCAGGTGGTAAGTGCCATCTATAAAACATTTTATATAAGTTTTCCTTATAAGAAGTTGCCATTGTTAATTGATAGTTTCTTTCCCATAGGTTTTACCATTTCTCAAATATAATATATCTAAAGTTTTTTGCCCACTCTATCATTGTGTCATTTACTTATTCATCCTTCATTTTCTGATTTAGTAAAAAAATTAGGTGTCCATTTTAAGTCTTGAGATATGATAGAACCTAGAAACCTGAGGTCTCTACTGTTGATACTGTGTTGTCTGGTATTGTAAGAGGTTGACCCTGGTTACTCAGCCAACAGTCTTGATAGTCCATTTGTCAACAGATGCCTAGAAACTCCAAAACTTAGCACAGTTCTTGTTGAGCCAGGCAATGACTGATTTAGTATAGGATTCTGTAAATTATGTCTCATCCTATCATCATACCGTATCTAATCTGATGAGACCTGTCTGATATAGCTCTCATGTTCTTCAGAGCACACAAACCCCATATCTGTGTCAAGATAATGCCTCAGTAGGGGGTTATTTTTGTTATTATTGTTGTTTCATGACTTTTGGTGCATTTGTGTCAATCTTGAACTCAAACTCCTGGACCACAGTAGTCCCTGTTTCTTTTTTCTTCTTCTTCTTCTTTTTCAGAGATAGTTTGCCCTTCCGTTCTTCTTCCTATGGTGGAAAGAGTGTGATTGGCCCAAGTTCATCCAATTGGCTTTGTGCCTAAGGCAAGACAAGAATTCACAGTCTCCTCATTTCTAGCCTGATTACTACACCAAACTGGATCACCTCTCTTTCCCTGCTTCTCTTTCAAGTAAAAACAAAAACTGAACCTTGTATGACACTGCTTTTTGTCTGAAATGAGATTAGAAAATGTTTATTTTATTTATTTATTTTTATTTATTTTTCATATTTGTATACCGCCCTACTCCCGAAGGACTCAGGGCGGTGAACAGTCATAAATAATACAAAGACATATAAAAGTTAAAGAGTATTAAAAACAGATTAAATAATTTAGGCTCAAAAAATTAAAACCAAAAACATCCAAATTTATCTAAAAGAGATCTAAAACCCAATTTAAAAAACCCGATTTAAAAGCCAATTTAAAAGGGAGAGTTAGGCCAGACCAGCCTGTTGGAATAGAAACATTTTCAGGGCACGGCGGAAGATGCGCAAGTCTTGGATCCTTCGTAACTCCGGGGGGAGCCCGTTCCAGATGGCAGGTGCCCCCACAGAGAAGGCTCTCCCCCGGGGGCCGCCAGTCGACATTGTTTGGCCGACGGCACCCCGAGGAGCCCCTCTCTATGGGAGCGAACTGGTCGGTGAGAGGCTATTGGTGGCAGGAGGCGGTCTCGTAAGTACCCTGGCCCTGAGCCATGGAGCGCTCTAAAGATAGTAACCAAAACCTTGAAGCGCACCCGGAAGACCACCGGGAGCCAGTGTAGCTTTTTATTTATTTATTTATTTATTTATTTATTTATTTATTTATTTATTTGTTTAAATTTCTATACCGCCCTTCTCCAATATAGGACTCAGGGCGGTGAACAGCCAAAGTAAAAACAAGTTTAAAATAATTAAATATTTTGGCCGTAATTAAAAAATTCCAATTTAAAATCAGTTTAAAATTTAACTCAAGCCAGCCCAGCTAGCTGAAATAAATGGGTTTTCAGGGCCCGACGAAAAATCCGGAGGTCTGTTATTGTACGTATCTCTGGGGGGAGGTTGTTCCAGAGGGTGGGTGCCGCCACAGAGAAGGCTCTCCCCCTGGGGGTCGCCAGCCGACATTGTCTGGCGGACGGCACCCTGAGGAGGCCCACTCTGTGTGAGCGTACTGGCCGGTGGGAGGCTATTGGTGGCAGAAGGCGGTCTCGTAAATACCCCGGCCCTGAGCCATGGAGCGCTTTAAAGGTGGTCACCAACACCTGACAATCCCCTTGTTTATAGGAAGATATACTGGCAAGAATAAGTGACCCCAATTTTTTACCATTTTGATGAACATCTTGGATTGGATCCAACTTACTTTTTCCATTTGTTTTAGTGGGTGTAATGTAACCATGAGTATGCTTTCACTAAACATACAGCCCATAAACGGCTTCCTTAAAAACGGAAAGAAACCTTTTGCTGGCTGCAGGCTTCCCTTAACTCTTATTACCATAAATAGATTTGCTGCAATTAATAAAATATTAAGATAAAATGGTGGCCCAAAGTCAAGTGCTACTCTGAAATCAAGACACAATTTTAAATAATAAATTCACTGAGAGTCTTCTTCATGCTGAATAAATTATAATAAAGATTGGTAACATTAAAACCTAATTCTAAAAATACTAATTATTTCTGCTACTTTTAATGGGATGTTTTCCTTCATCCTTTTATTACTCGTGACATTTTTCTTTCTTTACAAACATCGCCATCTACTGTTCGCCATAGTAGCCACAGATGAAACCAAATTCTATTCCAAGAATTTTTGCTAGCTAGCCTTATCGCCTGTTTTAAGTAACAACATACACTTAACAACATAAACTTTTAATTAATAACATAAACATTGCTCATTTGATGTAATTTGATGAGAAGGTAATTTGATAATTGCAGGATTATTTGCAAATATTCTCATTTGAAAGAAAGCTATCTTGAACGTTATATGAACTATTTGGATGTACAGCCAGCTCTTTAAATGCTATCCACTTCAGGATTAACTTCTGGATCATTTCATAAAAGACTGAACCTCTAAATATATGAAATCCCGCCAGAGCAAATAAAGAAATAATAAAAATGCTAAAGCTGCTTTAGTAGCCAGAAATAAAGAAATTAATTAAGATGTTTCTTCAGGAATTGGAAAAATCCATGCAGGTGCTGCAGAGATACAGATTAAGGAAAGTAATAAAGTGACTGTAGGAAGACAGCTTGAAGTTGATACAGAAATCAGATCTGGGGAAAGGAGGAGGCCTATCCCAAAGAGTAGAGACACAAGAAATGAAATTCAGAAGATCCAAGGTATGGAGCTACAAATGCAACACACGTACAACATGGAGAAGAAAGGAAAGTTTAGACTTACAACACGTCTAGAAAAAAATGAGAGAGGGTAAAAGACTCTACCTGTGATGACCCAGGGCTGGGCATGGAAGCAACACAGCTGGACCAAAGGCCTAACTCCCCTTTATTGCTCCAACTTTCCCCCCAAAGTCCCACCATTCACTGCAAGTCCAGGAGCAAAGCTCTAAACATGCACATCCAATAGTTCCTGGCTGCTGTTAGTCCAGAGGAGCAGCCCAGTTCTGAGAATAGCCACAGTTCAGGGAACTTGGTCCCAGGGAGTTCTTGTCACATGAAGTGTTCACTGGGACTGCAGTACAACCCGAAGCAGAACTGTGTCACTGCAAATTCACACTTAGCCAGGCCAGGTAAGCAAAGCAAAAGAAGACAAGCAAGGCAAGCAGGGCAAGGCCCAAAGTATCCAGATGTCAGTAACAACACATGAGGCTGGAAAAAGGCAATGTTTGTTCCCCACAAGCGCCCCTCCCAATGGCATCTCTTTAAATCTTATTCCCCAGGGGAGCCTTGTGAAGAGGGGTGGGGTGCCCTCCTCCTGAGTCATCGGATCGCCCTGTGCTGACTCAGCCTCCTCTCCATTTTCTGTGCTCAGCAATTGGGGGGAGGTAATTGGTCATTGCCAGAGCTTCATTGTTCCTCTGCTCCACTGCCTGCCCTCTCTTCCCCGTTCACTTGGTCATCCTGCACCCTCTCTCCTTTGCTGGCGACCCTTCCCCAGCCCGAGGGACCTGGGACTACCTCGTCCTGCTCCTCCGGTCGTTCTTCCAGGGCCAGAGAGGCCATGCCATCTTCCTCTGTCGCCCCTAGCTCCGTCTCATCCTCCTCCGTGGACCCAGGGTCTGACGGGACCATGACACTACCCTAGAAAGAGGCAGCCTAACCATATAAAAGGAATAAGAGATAAATGTTTAAATGGAAAGGTAAAAAAGATTCTTAAAGGTAAGTCCTTGACTTCCAACCATAACTGAGCTCACAATTTTGATCATACATTGAGACATTCATAAAGTGGGTCATCACTTGACTGTGCCCAATTTTACAACCTTTTTGTGGCAGTTGTTAAGTGAACACAATGGTCATAAAGCAAACATTGTGGTCACTAAGCAAATACCATGGTTGTTAAGCAAACCTATTGCTTGTTAAGGGGCCAGACCCTTTGTTTTCAGAAACCATATTTCTGTTTCTGGGGTGGGGGGAAAGTAAATTGCAGTCATATGACTGTAGGACATTGCAGATTGCTGTAAATGCAAGTCAGTTGTTGGGTGCCCAAAATACGGTCATGTGACTATGGGTGGTGCCTGCATATATTACTTCTGAATCCTAGTTTTAAGTCCCTATTCCGAGGTCCATCATAACTTCAAACAGTCGCTAAGCAACTGGTCATAAATCACGAATTACCTGTATTATTATTTTTTAAATCAGATTGTCCGGAAGGGAGAGAGAAATAATCCCTTAAAGCCTCTGCTAATTTGAGATTTGGGAGCCTACATTTCTAAAGTAAATTATTAAAAAGCTGGAAGGGATCTTCCTTGGATAATATGTGAGATAGCTAGCTCTTTAACCTTAAAATAGTTTCTGTGTTGAAACATATCTGAGATCCAGTTTCAAATCCTCATTCATCTAAATCATATGTTGTGTATTTTTCCCCAGAATTGCCAGGGGTTTTAATAATAGTTTTAACAACAGTTCTAACACATGCACATTGAAAAATGCTATATAGGTATCCTTCGTCTTATAACTATTTGTTTAGTGGTTACTAAACAGCACTGAAAATAGCAACTTACATAAGTTTTCACACTTACGACCATTGCAGCATCCCCATGGTCATGTGATCAATATTCAGATGCTTGGCAGCTGGCAGTGGTGGGTTTCTGCTGGTTCAGCCCGGTTTTGGGCGAACTGGTAGTGGCTCTGCCCACCTGCCCGACATCATCACGGACACTGTGCATGCTCAGAAGGTTCTGTGCCTGTGCAGAAACGCCATGCGTGAGTGAAGGGTGCACGCACATGTGCGCGCTCCTGGTTCCGAACCACTAGCAAAGGTAAGAGGCACCCACAACTGGCAGCTGGCATATATTTATGATAGTTGCAGTGTCTCAGAATCATGTGACTACCTTTTGTGACCTTCTGATCAGCAAAGTCAATGGGGAAACTTCTGAACAGTAAAATAGTCCAGATTAATCCCAGATATTGAGTGACATTAGGATTGTCCAACAAAAATACTTGTCTAGGAGCACCTTAAGAAAATAATGGGGATAATTTGTGTTTCTTCTCAAGATTATTATAAACTGCTCTACGATTCCACAATAGTCTTCATTTTCTTAAAAATTCTATGTGAAACCAGAGAGAAATCAGCTAAGAGATCTCAAATGAAATGGCATTAGCATTCAGATGTTATGAAGTCTTGGTGCTCATTTTCGACCCACTTCTCACAGGAAAGCTTCTGCTACCATCAGACTGTGATAGTCCAGTAAGGAATTAAAGATAGGCCAGAGATAGAATGGACTTTGCAGCCTTTCTGAACAAGCTAAATATGCACCTTTAGAATCAGCCTTGATGTAGAATTCCAATGGGAAAGCAAGGGTTAATGGCCAGAAATGATTTTTAACTTGTAGGAAGTTAGCAGCCACCCCTTTCCTGGAAGAATGAAATATTTTAGGAAATATTAAAAAGGCAGAATATTATATTTCCCTGGATGAGAAATGGAGAAACATGTTTAAAGACAAAGCAGCTTCCTGCCTCCCCCCACCCCCACCCCCACACCTTTGTTAACAGGTCAGAAGCAGAAACTCAATCCTTTGTAAAGGACCATCATCTGCAACACAATAGGCATCTAGGATAGAAACTCACCACATGGCACCTGGGAAGATTACATCAGCCAGCAAGGCTAGCTAAGACCCCCCTACCCCCTGGGAGTCTGACAACCAATCAGGATACTCTTTCAGGGCCCCAGGAAGTTCAAAGCCAGAGAGACCATAAAACCCAGGGACTCGCTGTATCTCAGCCCTTTTCTGTTCAGGAACTCAAGCCATGTGATCATGTCCACCATCAAACCATCTTTCCAGTGTCTTTTTCCCCACTTGGAGCTGAACCCAGAAGGATATTTCTTCCCACAAACTAGTTTATGTGGAAGGTACAGATGTTGTATCTGTAATGTATTAATAACTGTAATAATAACTAGGCTGTGATCCTCTAGAATATAAACCAGTGTTGGAGAATATAAACCAGTGTTCCTCTCTGTTCTGCATAATCCATAGTTTATGTCAAACCATAGTTGGAGTATTGTACCCATTTAGGAAAGATATGGATAACTTTAAACGTATCGAGAAGAGCAACCAAAGAAAAAGATATAAAAGAAGAAAGATATGAGAAATGCGCAAGTTTGAAGAAAACAGCGGTGAGATACAATAATTACTGTGCTGAGAGGCTATAAATCTCTCTAAGTTTATGCGTTGACCAGCGAAGCGAAGGGAGGCTGCGCTGTTAAACATTCTTTATTAGCGCGCCCAATAGCGAAAAAGACAAATTCAGATCGCTCGCAGAACTTCACTTCGCCAAGAGCGCATGCGCATCTTTCCTGTTCTGTAATTTCCGGGTTACAAATGAAAGAGTGAGGAGGGCTAGAACGTCTCGGTAGGAGAACGGCAGAAGATTTCGTTGCAGGTTCGCGCGTGGGTCCGGGGAAGGACGCCCCCCCCCCCGCCTTCCTTTATGCATCTTTCCCGTTAAATGTGGGTCCGGATCAAGCGCCATGCCTCTGGAAGTACTGAGTGGGTCCCTTAGGGTGGTAAAAAATTCTCTGCCCAACCACCTACAGAAAGTCGATCTCGAGCATTTGCAGCTGGGGCGCGATTATGCGAACCAATACATCCAGGTAAAGGCAGTTCATGCATTTCAGAGGCATTTCCAATGCCAGCCTTGAAATACGGGTAGAGTTACGGGCTGCAGAAAAGTTGCTCTGCCTCTAGTTTTCCGACATAAAACGTGGTCAAGGAGAATGGGGTATATTTAATGTTTATTTTAAAAAATGGGTTTATTTATCCATTGGGACGGATTCCCAAATAAATGGATGCAATTTGTCTTCCTAAAACAGCCCACTTGCTAGGGAGGATTGTCCTTTGAGCGTTGCCCCAAATGTCAGGGAGATAGATGTATCTTTGGAATTCCAAAGCTCTGAATTTAATCAGAATCAGAATAATTTAAGAAGACACTTGGTTGATACCTAGGATGCTGGCAGCAACCCGTATCAACCATTAGCACCAGTCAATCGTATTTATGACACATTTTTAAATGTTCAGTTGACTGAGTTTCATGTTTAATGAATAAAAGAGATAATGTCATTGTCATCGGGTCACTTGGTACCATGAGCAAGAATTTTACAAAACACATTGCAGCTTTCTACAATAACATCAGCGGAACTGCAAAAAACTGCGCTACTTGGAACATCATATATTTTAAGAAGATACTTGGTTGATACCTAGGATGCTGGCAGCAACCCGTATCAACCATTAGCGCCAGTCAATGGTATTTATGACACATTTTTAAACAATCAGTTGACCAAGTTTCATGTTTTGTGAATAAAAGTTAATAATAATCTTTAATATTACAAAACAATATCTACCTATTCCAGGATCTTGGGCAGGACTCAGTGGGTAGACAAAAATCCAGTCTGAACATCTAGCTAACTTTATATACAAGTATAATATATTACATTATATGCCAGCTGACTCTCAGCATCTCTGGGTGGTTTACCCTTCCTCTCTTGTGACTAGATACCATACACCCTCTTGTAATAAGCATTAGGTTCAGTCAAAGTTAAATCTCGTGTGTGTTTTAGTCCTACAAAATGAAATACACAGTATCTGTCTTGCATTGCTTCAGTTTAAATCTAGTCGCTGTTAAAATAGGTATCTCTTTTCCTGATCTTGAATAATACCAATTCCTATGGGGGGAAAAAAGATCCCAAACCTAGACTATTTTACATAAGCAACTTGGTAATTCTAAATTGGAACTTTGACACAAAAACACAGATTTTCAAATTGGTCTCTTATCCTTAGGATTTGCCCAAATTAACCTCAGTTTAAGAACCACAGGTCTAATATATAGATATTTAGAAATAAACAGGGATTTTAAGTGAACCTTTTCCACATAGGAATCCATATGATCCATTCATGTTTTAATTTTAACATTTATTTTTGTTTTTTATTTCTTTTTCTGAAGACACACAGGCGCCTTCTGAAGGCACAATCCTAGGCAATATTACTCTATTGTGGGTATATAATATACAACTTAATTTGACTGATACAGAATTACAGCTGGAGAAATCTTTAGAATATAAGGCTAACAATACTGGAATAAAAACCTATCTGGTGAATTATTAGGACTTTTTAAAAAAATAGTTTATAAAGTCTCCTAGCCATTTTTTTAATTGGTAAACCATATCAGAAGGTTTTTTTCTTTTTATACAATATAGAATGATTTCTATGCCTGTCAGAAATTTTTTGTTGGAAAATTGGAATAGTTATTCCAATATAAAGAGAAGGTGTGTTATGTTATATCACCTACTGTATGTGATTCAAGGTACAATAATATGTATTGGGCCTGTTGTTGACATTTTTAGTTACAGATTCCAGTCTTTCTTGGGGATCTTTGCTTTTCCTTGATGTTGAACAAGTATTTCAGTTGCTGTTTACATACTATTTATGTTTATTCTGAGGAAAACCTCTGCAGAAAAATCATGCAATCAGACTTCATTGGTATTCATATATACAGCGTGCATGACATTACGCCAAAGATGATGTGTTTTTCATTGCTGATAATGGGTGAACTGAAAACTACAAAGTAAAAAGGAGCATTAGGAAGAGCCACAGGAGTTTTGTAAGAAAAATATTTTAACTCAATTTTATCAGTTTTACAAAACGCTTTCAAAATGGCCAGCAACGTAGTTCTATGTCTGCCCAGAAATAAATTCCACTAAATTTATTGATACCTATTACAAGGTTAGTGAAGTTAGGATTGTAGCCTGAATGGTCGTCATCATCCCAATCATAATACTTACTGTCAATGGTCCACTGTGTAAATACTGGCTTGAAGGGAAATGAAAATTATTTTATCTAACTGTATTGAGTTCCTCTGAGAATTGCTTGTGGCAGAGAAGTGATGATGTTGTCTTGCCAGCTTGTATTTGCCTTATATTTATATTTTTAGGAACATTCTCTTAATTCCTCTGCCTCTATAAAATCCCCTATATCTCTTTAGTTAGTATTCTAGAAATATTTCAAAGGGATGTGGGAGATAATATTGTCTAAAGGTATAGTTTTAAGTTCTGAATATGTTGATATGTATAAAGTTTCAGAATTAGGGTATTTTTCTCTGTTTTAGGGATCATTTGTTACGTCCTATCAATTGATTAATCTTGGAAATGGGACACCTTTCTTCAAGATAGTACTTCAAGGTATTTCAGCACAATGAGTACTGTATTCTCATGATTATATTCTTGCTTAGGTTTATGAAACAAGGTGTGTATTCAGCATGGATGATGTGGGTGAGAAATACAACAGCAGTGAATCATCACAGAACATTTATATAGTTCCTGAGGGAATGGGTACAAGTTCTATTGTGCAGTCTAAATAATGTAAATATTGCTTGATACGATTTGAGAACAAATCCTTTCCAAACTATGAATCTTGCTTTTTAGTATTTGTTCTCGGTGCCTACCTGTAAAGCAGTGGTGAAATTTTTTTTTCTGCTGGTTCTGTGGGCGTGGCTTGGTGGGCATGGTGTGGCTTGGTGGGCGTGGCAAGAGAAGGATACTGCAAAATCCCCATTCCCTCCCCATTCCTGGGGGAAGGATATTGCAAAATCTCCATTCCTACCCCATTCTGGGACCAGCCAGAGATGGTATTTGCCAGTTCTCCAAACAACTCAAAATTTCTGCTACTGGTTCTCCAGAATCTGTCAGAACCTGCTGAATAGCACCCCTGCTGTAAAGTGAAACAAGATGAACATAATTTTGCTTGTAGAAAGACTTGGGGGACAGTAAATTCTTTAAGCATCCTTTCCCATTAAAAATGTTCTGGAACCTACTGCATATAAAGGAGTGTTTTCTTAACAGTCCAGGGTTTCCTTCACACTCTAATTAGAAATAATCTGGTATGCTTAGTCATAATATTGGCAAATGCGGGAGCAGGAGCTTCTTGTTGTATTTAGAGGTATGCAAATAGTGAGACTGTGATATTTATCTTTTCAGAATCAGAAAACTCATCTTCCAGGAATAGCAGCATCTATATTTTAATATTTGGGAAACTGGCAGAAGATTGTGCCAAAGTTGTCCAACAAGGGGTAAGGGATTTTATTTTTCTTGTTAGTAATATTAATATAGATTGTATATCTATTTTACCCAATTGACACATGTGGTATTGCAACACCAACCTATGTATCTTTATTTTAATTAATCAGTGTTCATTGTCATTTTCCACAGATTTCTTGCTGGTTTTCTTCTTTTTGCCTCATCTTTTTTTAAAATTTTGCATGGTAGTATGATGAATGTTAAAAAAATTTTCTTACTCTTTCAGTTGGCTTCTAATGGTCTTACAACCATTCACATTTATAATTTTTGCAGACATGTTTTTTAGACAGACCATTGTAATCCAACACCATTTCTGTTTGCTCTAAGTGAGCATCTATTGAAGCTATCCAGCTCACAGAATTTCATATGTAAAAAAATATGGGCTATTCTATACCAAAACCAGGAAAGATTCTTCTGTTATTTCTACAAGATTTAAGGCTATATGTCAACCTGAGCAACAGCATCATTATCTTAATATCCTGAAATCCAACCGTATGTTGGTTTTGTAGAACAGACAGTTGGCAAAATAATTTCTACTGTTCAGGTGCACTTTTATGAAAGTTACAGAATCAATAAGGCCCTCATTGATTTCCTCATCTACTATCTAAGCAGATTAATCTGTTAGTACGAAATTAGAACTATACTATTGAAAAAACAATGCATTAAATTCTGTGTAACCTACTATTAAGAATAAGAACATAAAATGATTTTGAACTGAGTTTGACTCCTGGTAATTCCTTGGACACATCCATCTGGTATTAGCAACTTTTAGGTATGGAATAAATATTTTCAATAAATACATTTCTATAAAAATTATATCTTTGAAGTATGGAATTGGAGAGAAAATCTACTTTGCCAACTCTAATTCAATCCTTCTTCTATAAGTGTCCCAGAATGGATGAAAAAGATGAAAACTAACAAAAACAAAGTTGACATCAATAAAGCAGCTTAAGAAACAGCAGAGGCAAATACTCATTTGGAAAAAAATAAATTGGCAGTTTTTGAAGGAATATAGATGCAGAACAAAGTGACAAAGTATAGAATGGAACGGAGTGCTAATACTAAGAAAGTATGAATAGAAAGTCACTAATGGTTTAAGCAACAGCTATTGTCAAAGGCTCCAATAGGTGATTTTTAAAAGTTGCACAGATTCATATGAATAGAATGAATTGCAGACTCTTCAAGGAACCTTGTCAAAAGCCATTAAGAGCTTTAAAGCCTATAGCAAGAGCACTGACTTTTTCTAAAGAAAAAATGTGGGCAGCCAAGTCCACTGATAAAATAAAGAGCTTGTGTGATCCAAATAATCTGCCTGTTTTAAAATTGTAGCAGCTGCTTCTGCATTTATTGACATCTAGTAGCATTCAGTGGCAATTCAACAGAGATCATGTATGGATTTATGATCAAGTAAAACATGCTGATCAAGGATCTTTTTTCTAATTGTTAAAGCCGTCATATCTTTTTTCAGGCCTACTTTAGCTTTGGAAACTGCAAAACAATTCTCTAAATGGCATGGGCCCGGGGTACTTGCAGGATCACCTCCTACCGGCCTCCCACTGCCCAGGGCTGTCCTCCTTCGGGTGCCGTCAGCCAGACAATGTCGGCTGACGGCGCCCAGGATGAGGACGTTCTCTGTGGCTGTACCGACCCTCTGGAACGAGTTACCCACCGGGCTCCAGACGGCCCCTGATCTCCGTTCCTTCCGCAAAGACCTGAAGACATGGCTTTTTAAGCAAATTGTCTGATTCTGTTTTGGGAGTTTTAATTAATTGTGGGATTTGAATCAAATCTTTTAATCTTATTTATTATTGCTGTTTTATTGTGATTTTATTGTTGTGAGCCGCCCCGAGTCCTTCGGGAGAAGGGCGGCATATAAATTTAAATAAATAAATAAATAAATAAATAAATAAATAAATAAATAAATAAATAAATAAATAAATAAATATGCTCTTCCAAAGCACTTCTTTCAAGGATCAACAGATCCCTCTTATTCATTTGTTTAGTTTTTATTTATTTTTTAATGTGTTGCAGTACTCTTGAAGACTGTTTGTAACATAGCCCGTAATAGGTCTTTGGCAGCGTATCAAAGAAGATAAAGGTGGTGTTTACTAGCCTTATCCGAAGGACTGTGGCAGACTGTGGCAGACTTCTGTTGGACTATTTATAAACTCTTGGTAACTCAGTACGTGCTGTGAATGAAAGGAATTCACAGCCGTTAAAATAAAGGGGGTTTTGGGACTAATTGTGTGCTTTTTACTATATCAGGAAGCCTAGGTCAGAACAATCACTACAGAAGTTTCCAGGAGCCAAGTCTGGTTCAAAGGCACAAACACATACACACACATACTGATACACACTTTTTTTTGTAATGCGTAAATGATTTGCTAGTTCTTTTTCCTGACTTGGGCCCATCCTGAGAAAATAAAATGTAATTGAATAATATTGAAATCAGTGGCACTTCTGCATGAGTCCATCACTTTCAGTGGCATGTGCATATACAATTTGGTGAAAAAATATCCACCTCCCCCTTTGGATTTTCTAAACATTTGCATTTCTTTTCCATTGAAAGCTACGAGAGCTTTACGCCCTCCCAATATTATAAGTCAGTCTGAATGTATGAATTAACAGCAAAGTGCAGTTGGTTTCATAAAGTCATCTGCAAGCAATATGACATTGTGAAAATGTAATTGACCCTTTAAATTCAGCATCTGGTTGCACCAACTTTGGCTTCAAGAATTACAAAACACTTCTTTTCTCATCAGATTCAGTGGCAGAGGTACACAAAAAAGCTAAAAGGGAGTAAATACTTTTTCACAGAATTGTTTCCAAGTCCATTAGACCTACAACCTCTTTTAATGTCAAACATCAAAAATGATTTATACTGTACTGACACTGGAATAAGCTCTGTCACTACCCTGGAGATATTAGAAAATATTTTCTATTTTTCTGCCTCGTGTGTATGCATAAGAGAGAGCTTTTAAGAAATTTCTGGGTTACTTATTCTGATAAGCTAATATAGTTTGGCTCAGATTGGCTTCATTTCATCCTCACTTGCAAGTATTATTGTATTATTTCTCCAGTGGAGTTTTCAGGTTATTGACATTTAAAATACTGTTTAGAAAGCATGCAATGGAAAGCTTCATTACAAAAGTCACTCTTCATAAAGTGACATTTTTAACTTTATGACTATTTGGCTTTGAGTTAATACCATGTAGGCTGAAAAATATATGTGTATATTTGTATTTATATTCATATTCTGATTTATGAAATATATTGGTGAAGGGGTCTTTTATTAAGAATTGACTTTTTCAAGAAACATTTTTAATTTTTTTATTTGCACTTTTTCTTTTTCGGGCATTCTATTAGTTTTATCTTTATTATGATAAAAACCGACTTTTTCAAAAAACTTAATGTTTTTACAATTATCTTATTTAAGTGACTCATCGCTTTCATACTTGCACATTTCTACATCTGATTTTTTTTTTAGATTAGTCTTATTTTGCCTTATTTCCTCTTTAATTTAAATGGTTACTTTGCTTACCATACCAGTCAGAAACAAATATGTGAAATAAACATTTAAACATCTTTCCTAGCATGAAAAAAAATTACATGTATTTCTTGGTTAAAGTGGGTTTTATTTTAAAATCCACATATATAACATGTGTAGTTACAATTATATAGACATCATTCAGACTGATATTTGTACTTCAAATCTCTGCTGTTCGGTTTTTCTGTTACCCAATTCTACCAAATTGCTACTACATCAAGGTTTCTTAACCAATGATAATCTTCAAATCTATATTCTATGCAATCCATTCTCCTTCATCTGTATTGTACTTTTTTTCTTATTGCATTTATTTAAAGCTCCTCTGTTTTTTAACATGCATTTTCTCTTTGTTAAAGATTTTAATATATGGAGACACTATTCATCTTAAAATGGGCAGTTTTATGTCTCATTTTATTCATTTTAGCGTTTTTCAAAATTATAGCAATAGCACTAGTATTTAGACTCATATACTGCTTCATAGCACTTTACAGCACTCTCTAAGCCAGGGCTGTCAAACTCCTGGCCTGCGGGCCGGATGCGTCACGTCCCAGGCCCACACCCGGTTTAGCGAAGGGGGAAAAAAGTCCTGATATATCACGTGATGTCTCCATGATGACGTGAGTTTGACACCCCTGCTCTAAGCAGTTTACAGAGCCAGCATATTGCCCCCAACAATCTTGACTTCTCATTCTACCGACCTCAGAAAGATGGGAGGCTGAGTCAAACTTGAGCCGGTCAGGATCAAACTCCTGGCAGTGAGCAGAGTTTGCCTGCAATATGCATTCTAACCACTGTGCCACTACGCTCTTATTATCAGCATCTTTTTATCATTTTTAAAAGGTAGGGATAAAAGATGTGATGTAAATGGTATAACAATAGTGACAGATATAGTAACATGCTAATTGGCTATATATTTTTTTGTTTTCAATAGGATATCATCATGGTGGCTGGATTCAACTTGACAAAGTCCACTAATGATCCCAGTAGGCATGGGTGTCAGGTGGAAGTGTCTGAAGAAGCCGGCTCAACAATCTATGTACATTGAGCAAGGGTTTTTTTTCTCATTCTCTCCATTTACACTTAATCTCTAGTTGATTTAGGCAGTGATTTTAAAAGATGACTGTGGTTATTAAAATTAATTAAGATCTTTTATGATGATACATAAACTTGTCCCTTTCGTACATTAGAAACTGCCAGGTAGAAACCAGTTACGTTGCTTAAAAGTATTTCAAAGTTACATCTCTGTTTTATATTTTTCCTTTCTAGTAAATAAGAACACTAGTGGTCATTATCAATAGATAACACAAAGAATGAAGAAAGAATAATTTTAATTTATACATGATGTTTTATTTTGTTTTTATGATGGCTGCTGGGAGTTTTTGAAGCAGAATGCAAATAAATAAATATGGAACTAAACAAAAATACTAAAACCAATATAAATTTTATAGTTGCTTTAAAAGGAGTATTACTGTATACTATTAGAATGTTGTGTATCTCTGATATAGATTTAGATATATTAGTTACAATATCAAATAATGCTATATTTCTGGATCTTTAAATCTAAATACCTAAATTATAAAAAATCTGAATTTCTCATTGTCCCTTATTGATGTAAATAAGTGTTATAGAAGAAATAAAATCCCTAGGTAGGATTACAGTTATATTGGCTTAGTGAAGATGTTCCTAATTGGTAGGATATGCTTAGGGTTATGTTTTCAAAATAGTAAATTGGCAGTGAATCTATTTGCAAAGTAATACTTTATTTTAGAGAATGAACAATGATGAACAAGAAAATGACATCTCATTCATGAGATCATTTTCATTTAACCTTCCATAGCACCTGAAATAAATATCCATTTCTGATATAATACTTAATTTAGTGTTTAATCTTAATAAATATTTAATGAAAATCTTGTTAAAATATTGGCATTAAGAGTTTGAAATTATTTTAAGTTTTTTATACTGCTAAGTATCTTTTTACAACCCCCCCCCCCCAGGTTTGTACTGGATCATCACGAAATGCAACTGGGGCAGAAACAGCATCCATGGTAAGTTTGAATCAATTAAATTTTGTGGGCTGAATATATAAAATCTGCCTGATGAAATCCACTACTTGAAAAAATTAACTAGTTTACATGGGAAAAAATCTCCCTTTTTTCATAATAGTTTCTACTATTTTAAATCTTAACAAAAAAATAGTTCAGTCACAGAATTTTTGACCAGTTTGCCATAGATCATTTTCTAATTGGATCATTTTTATTTTATCTTGCCAGAAAGTTGCTCCCAAATACACATACACTCCTCTGAATCACCTTAAAAATGGAAGTGTTGTCAACCTGTATGGGGCTGTGAAATTCTTCAAGCCTCCATATTTAAGCAAAGGAACTGGTATGTATGTTTGAATATACACCATACCATTAGAATATGTTAGAGTATATGCCTTTTTTAAGCAAATGTGCGCCCAAGTAGATTGTGGAATAGTGGCCAATTTCAGATAAACTTCCAAGCTGATCAAGTAAACATTCAGTCATATCAGCCCCTTCTGGAGAAAGTTTTGGAAAAGGTGGTTGAATGATAGTAACAGAGGATCTTAGAGGAAATGGATTATCTGGATCCATTTCAGTCTGGTTTCGGGCCAGGGTACAGTGCAGAGGCAGTATTGCTCACGTATGATCATGATGTATGGCAGAGCATGGTATATCCATCCTAGTGCCCCTTGTTCTCTCAGTGACTTTCAATACTGTTGACCATAATATTCTTCTGGACCAGTTGTGGGAATAGGAGTAGAGTACACTGTGCGGCAGTGGTTCCTCATGACTCCTTGTGTGTGGGGTGCTTCTGAGATTGATGATCTTCACTCTGCTAGATTTGCACTTCGGAGTGCAGTATCATCAGCATTCTGATGATAGTCAGCTCTACATCACCATCTCAAGCTGTGTAGGTGAAATTATCGTTGTATTGACCAGTGTCTGAAGGTTTTTCAGGTCTGGATAGGGTAGAACAAACTGCTAAATGTTAATAAGATTGTGTACTTGTTTGGACTCCCAGTACCTACAGCTGATTTAATATACAGTAATAGGCAGCTCTCAATGTGCCCATGGGTTACCACTGCTACACAAGCTGCATTGACTCCCAGTGGCTTCCAAATGCAATTCATGTTATTGGCCTATAAGCCCTGTATGGCAGTGGGGACTGCATACCTGAAATAATGCTTGTCTCCAGTTGTTTATTGTCGTCAGAAATTCTGGCAGAAAGGATATGCTCTAGGTCCCTCCATTAAATGTTGTCACCTTGTGGGACTAAAGAAGCAAGCCTTCTCTGTTGCGGCCCCTTACCTTGGGACAGTGTCCCCCCCAGAGATCAGGACAACAGCCTCTTTCCTATGACTCTAGACAGCTTTGAAAATCTGGTTTTAGTCCAATTTGGAGTTGATGTTATTTGTTGAATGACTCCTGTTTTGTTTTAATATTAGAGCATTTTAATTTAGTGGCTGCCTATGATTTAATATCTTTAGTTGTTTTTATATCTTTTTTAGTTTTGTGCCCTGCCTGCGCAGTGTTTAATAATTTTGGTGGTTATTAAATTTAAATAAATAAATGAAATAAATTATGATCTTGCAGAATGGACAGGAATCTTGCAGAATTAAATTTAAAGAAGGGGGAAGTAGACATGTTCATAGCAGACAGTGGTCCAGAATAAAACCTGGATATGTCCAAACCTCTAAGTCCCATTAATTTATTTTTCTTAAGAAGATTTCTCTAATTTTATCTGATCTTAAAATTACTGAATTTAATTTTTATCTTATATCAAGATTTGCTTTCTTTCTTTCTTCTCTCTCTCTCTCTCTCTCTCTCTCTCTCTCTCTCTCTCTCTTTCTGAAACTCTGAAGTTTATCACTCAAGGCTTTCTAACAGTAGAATGTTTTCTGAATTAAGTGGACACAGTCTATGGAGCAGGAAGAAAAGTTCAGCAGCTGTGTCTCTGCTGCTGAGTTTGATTACTCTCATTTGTCAATGCAGTGGCAAACTGCAGAAGAAAAGAGAAAAAGTCAAGAAAGAAGCAATAAGGACACAGGAAAACAAAGAACTTAAGAGTTACTGTTTCCTCCAAAAAAGAACTCTTTCAATTCTTTTCTTCTGCAGTTTTGCCACTGCATTGATAAGTTGGCCACAGGCTCTTCACCCATTATGGAACTTGGTTTAATAAGAGATGCAAACATTTTGCTAATGTAAGACTGTTTCCTATGCATTAATTTTGAAGGGATGCTGACTTGCATTTTTTTTCTTTGTAATTGTAACACTTATTAAGTGACCACATTGGTGTGAGTGCCTTTGGAGTAAGTAAAGAAAATATGCAATATTGAAGTAGCCAACTTTTTAAATTGCTAATGTATGTGTAATTTCATTTGAATTTGTTTCTGCATAAACACAATCTGAAATTTGCAGAGTCCTTGTGCAATTATATTTTTCCGAGAATAATTACTTTAAAACAGGGGTCTGCAACCTTGACAACTTTTAAGACTTGTGGACTTCAACTAGCTGAGGAATTGTGGGAGTTGAAGTCCACAAGCCCTAAAGTTGCCAAGGTGAAATCTCCTGCTTTAAAACATCCCAAACTAAAGTATACCACCAGAAAAAGTTGGAAAGTCATGCAGAATTTTCAGACGAGTGTTATATTCTTGTGAGTCTCCACAGATACTCAGCATATTTCTTCTGATTCTTATTTCCTAACAAGAAAGATGAAGAATACACTGTGAAATGTTGTGATTCTTTCTCATTTAAATCTCCCTTTTTTTTTTTCAGATTAGTCACAGTTAGGCTTATGTGTTTTGGAACGGTTATTATTGGTTCCTTTCCAAACAATTTACAAACCCATTTTGGCCTACAAACTTTATTCAAATATGCCAATAAAGTGTAATTTGGATAATTAAAATACCACTGCAAATGTAACCATAATCATACTTAGCTTTGAAAAAGTAAATTAAATGAACAGAAGTATAGGAAATTTAGATAATTTGGAGAGAGGAGTATAATTTCTTCATACTGTATAATTCATAGACTTTCTCTATTCCTGTAAAATCACTTATAAAAAACATTTTTGTTTGCTTGTGTGTAATGTGGGTTATAGAACCATGAGAAATCTTAGCTTATAAAACTAGTACAACAAAGTCATTGTAAATAATTGGTTGAATCCAAATTTGATGACATTTATTTTCATTGAAATAATTAAAATTTAATTAACAATGACTTTTGCCATTGTAATAAAATGGATTCATTGCTTTAAAAGGGATTCAACTGCTTAAATAAGGAAATTTGCAATGACAAAATATGAATCCTCAAAACAAAGATTCTATGTAGTAATTGCTTTTAAGCATAAAACCATTGAAGTATAGAAAATAATCCTAGGAAATAGCTCAATTGAATATTCGTTTTTTCCAGTAGTTTAATTTAGATTTTCATAGATTACTCAATTCGCAGGAGAAAAAATCCTTATTTTTTACTTTTTAAATATTATGAAATGATTCCCACATTCAATAGTATTGTAAAATGTTACCCATTTTATAATAACAATTATAGTACATAGTTATTAGAATTTAGTTTCATTTATGAAGTACTCATGACAAATATATGACGTGAGGCTGATCTGAAGGCATCAGATATTAACACTTAGAGACTGATTAAAAAAACTTATACTAAGAGCCAGAATTTTCATAGCTAAATAAACTAAAAAAAAAAGTTTATCTTGAGATATGAAAGAAACATTGGGGATGGTTTAGGTTTTTAATTAAGTTTAGATCTATTTGACAACAGTAGGGTACTAAAGATAAAATGGTGTGCCACACTGAACTCATGGGCAATAGCAGTTCTTCACAATTAACTCTTTCTTTCTGCCTGAATTCTGGATGGATCAAAGTATTCTTGAACCTTCAATTGAAGGGTATTCTTTGTGATTTTAATTATTTATTTCAACAATTTTAATTCCATTCTATGAATATAAAAACTCTATTAGATATAAAATGTGTATAGCATATCTAATAAACTGAAATCACTATTTTTTCTCTTCCCCCCCCAAAAAAAAAATCCAACACCATTTATCTAAGGTATGATCTCCATCTAAACAATTCAGTTTCTGCAGCTTTATGTAAAAGGCCTGTAGCACGTTTCTCTTTCCCCACCATTTCTTCCTGCAAGATTTGTTGACTCTGATCATTTTGATTACTTTTTCCTTCTCTTATGTTTCTGCTAATATTTGCAAAGCAAAGCAAAGCTGGTACGCTTTCCAATAAACTAAATGTAAGGATACTGTAAAGATCTTTTTAGTGGTATTCAATGGTATACTGGCAACGAACACACTTTACAGAGAAAACAGTAAAATTTGAAATCTTTTTACAGAATTAATGTACATGTAACCTACCTCACGGTGTGATTGTGACTATACATCGTAAAGCAGGTGAAGGAATTCTATATGTCACATTGAGTTCAGTTTTTCATTTGATGGAAATGCAGAACGCAGGGTGGATAAAAATCAATGATTTTTTTAAAACAATCAAAAAAATCAGATTTTTTGATTTAAATCGGATTTTTTTTATTTAAATCGGATTTTTTTTTTATTTTTATCGAATTTATTTTAATAAAAAAATTTTAATAAAAAACTGGGGTAAAAATCTATTATAAAATAGTTTTCTATTTAAGATACATAAATAATTTAGTTTATTCAGCATGAAATGGAGCTTAGTTATGTAGCATGAGGCTGTATATTCTGCAACACTGGGACTATCGGTGAGTCAACAGTGGGTCAAAGGAGTAGCAGAGATGACAGTTGCTTTTTAAAAATTATGATTTAAATCGAATTGATTTAAATCAAGCCTTTTTACTAGTGATTTAAATCATGATTTAAATTGTGATTTAAATCAACTCGATTTAAATCAAATCCACCCTGGCAGAACGTATAAATAAAGTTACAAAATCAAGTAATGAATAAATGAGCAATCAGTCATTGTTAATGTCCGATATACATATGAAGGATTCATTGCAATAAACTTGTTACCAAATCTTATGGTAATAGTTTCCATTTTTCACGCAAATTGTAATAATTTGGAACATACTAAAATAGCTCTCCAATGTGAAACTTTTGTTCAATTTCAAGTCTAGGAATCACACAGGAATTTATTTTAAGAGTGTTTACCTGTAATCCCATTATATCATGTGTTTTAAAATAAAGCAGAGTATTAGGACCTGAAAAAACCCTTGAGGTTATATTAAATCTCCATAGAATGCCTGCAGTTTTAGCAAGTGTTAGTTGTACTTTAATACCAGAGTCTGGTAAATCCATGGGGGTATATTGACATTTGTTTCGCACTATAAATAACACAGTTGCTGTACCCCAATTTTTTTTTTTACACAATATAGTCTCTGTTCTTTGTGTAAAATTTTGTCCACTCTATATTCCATGTTGTTTATTGAACTGAAATAACCCATGAAAATACAAAATTGTAAATCTTAGCAATCAGAATATTTGTCTGGTTTGAAAAGAAGATTTCTTTCAAGAATATTTCCTTAGATCTTGTACAGTTTATCAAGATGTAATTTCTTGACCTTTTTTAAAAAATTGAAGCAAAATATATAATATATAAACTTAGAATTAGATGTCAGTTCCCTTTACATCTTTTTGATAACACCATAGTGTATTTTTTAAAAAAATATAATCTGCAAAATTAAACTATCAATATATTCAACATCTCAGCGTTCTATCCCATACTTCTCAAGACTATTCCTTTGAACTTAGTAGCTCCAAAGTTATTATCTTCACCTGAAAAAAATAGTTAACATTTACTTAAATATATTAATTCAGGTGAGCATTGCTGTTTACAGATTTTTATGTAAATTAGATATTTTTGTAACGTATTTGTTACCTTTTTTGATAGAATCTTTAGTTTGAGAATTTATTCTACATTTTACAGTTATTCCACAGTTCCCACTCCAATTGCTCTTTTACCTTTAAAAAGAAATAATGTTAACTTTAATGTCAGTTTTGCTTTGTCTATATGCAGTAGTTATCATTCCCATTTAATTTAATTAGCCTTATTTACATATTTTATTTAATCCCCCTAAAGAGAATAGTTATCTATTTGTGATTGGTCAAAACAGATCAGTAAAAATTCATATAGGTCTTCCTAATCCTGTGGCTATTAACATCCTGCCATAAAAATACTTTCAAGTGGTAATTTTGTCATGTGAGATAAATTTACCATACATTTGAGTATACTGAAAGCAATTTGTATTATATTTTGGTTAGACATGGCATAAAGGAAAATATGCACATTCTCTATATCTGTGCTGGTGAACCTATGGCACGCATGCCAGAGGTGGTACGCAGAGCCCTCTCTGTACGCACGCCATCGCCCCAGCTCAGCCAGCTGGTTGTCAGTTTTCTGATGCACACAGGCACGCTGGTCAGCTGGTCGTCGGGTTTCTGGTGCATGTGCGCACGCGCGCCTTCCAGTTTGGGCACTCTGTGCCTAAAAGGTTCACCATCACTGCTCTATATCCTACCTTTAAGGTTACAAACCAAGATTGAGCACTACTAAAAGAAAATGATTTAAGGAAAAGAGAGAAACATCAGTTTGATGGTAAAAGCAGTGAAATATAAATTATAACAGTAATTTAGCTGGATTCAGGCTGATTTGCCCATCTTGATTTTTTGCTGCACTAGATTATTATACTACTGCACAAACAAAGATGTTCTTTCTCATCTGTGTCTCTTCAGGAGACAATAGCTGGAACAAAGTTCTTCCTGCCTATGAAAAGTGACACAAGTTTCATACAATTAGAAATGTCTTGGATATCTGTCATTGATTTCTATGTGAGTAGATTTGCAAGTTTTTCTAAAATAAGGATCCCAACAAAACAGTTTTCCATTTAAAAACTTTCGTGAGAAGATATTTGTTTCAGAGTATCATGAATGAAAACAGAGGGATATGTTTTTTGTTTTTTGTTTTTTTTTGCTGAGATAGAGAGCAAGAACTTTTTATTGTATATTTTAAAACTTTGGAAAAATTAGCATACAAAGATTTATTTTCTTGTTTATTTTTGAAAAAAAATACCTGTCAGGGAATTAATTTTAAATAAAGTAGATGCACAGAAAAACTCTAGCTAAAATGCTTTATGTACAAGAACCTGTATTTTTTAAAAAAAGTTTAAATCATTTATAGAACAGACAAATATTCTGATAACAGATTGTCTGATAACAACTATGAAATAGGTTGGATTTTATTGATCCCCTCATCAATTCATATTGTTTCTTGATTTTAAATCAGCAGATAGATCTAATTGATTTGTCCTGAAAGGAATACAGGAATACAGTTTGTTTGCTATGGGGACAACAACACAACTGACAACATTTTTGTGTGAAAAATAAGATATTGATAGAGTCAGTCTGCTAATAATTAGCCAGATTTTGCTATTTATTATATGAACTTTTCAAATATTGCTTTCATTCATTTATATTGGCACTGTGAAAGATTGACAAGGAATTAGTAGTAAAGTCATATGGAATCTTACAGTTTAGTGCTTATATTCCTATGTACTATATGTCAGTTGTGTCAGGGAAATGAAAACCAAAGTTCTTTTTCATTCTTTTTCTGTTCTTTTTCATTCTTTTTCTCAACATGTGCAGATTATTGTTCAGTGGTGACCATTGTAGATCAGTCCAATGTGAAGTTGGTGTGTTCATTTTTTAAGGCAGTCAAAGATGCCCTTCCACAGATCTACAGAATTGGGGATATTGTTCGATTTCACAGAATAAAGGTAATTTTAATGCACTTCCAGCCATGTGGTAAGAAAGCTAAACTATAGTCCGTTCAAAGGAAACAGAGCAGATACTTCTTGGCATCTTTGATCTATCTTTGACATAATTCTCTTTCATGAGATTGCTGATGTATATTGATTGCTCTTACCCAGTAAACTGAACTAGAAGGCTCTATGTGGCCTATGGGGGACATAGTGGGGGACACAGTGTAGCCCAAAAAAATTCTAAATTTTATTTTAATAGAATTAAAATTGGATTGCATTAATGATAGATAATAGGATAACTATTTAGAAATGTTGCTTTCTACTACATTAACACCAAGAGAAATTTTTAGACAATTCCTGGTTTTAATGGACTGCACAAAGTCTTGAGTCCTTGCCATAGCCATATTATTCTTGTAGATAAGCAGAAGTGAAGCTTTCTTACAATACTGTGTGCATTTTGTCTTTGTCTTATGATAAGGGTGGGTTTTTGTATGTGATCTGTCACCCTGATGGTAGGTGGGTTTTCAACTCTATGACAGCAAGGTTGTTTCTGTTAGATATTTTACTTCTGTGCTATAATGTTTAAAGAAACGCAAGCATTCACAAATATTACTTACAGATATTCTTTTGCTCCCTCTTCTTGGTCATTACTCTTCCTTATTTATTTTTGTTTGCTATTCTTTTAGCAGAATCTTAATGTCCTTGAACTTGTAACTCTCCTCTCTCACTTTTCAATATATTTCAATCTTGATGGTGCAGGGGATAATTGGGGTATTATTTTTCAACTTTGCCAAGTGAACTATGGTTGCAAAGTACATTTTACAGCTGAAAAATGTGAGTGTTTACTTTATTCACTGGGTTCAAATTAGGGAATATTCACAATAGTAAGCAATATTAATATTTGGTATGCATCATACCAAAGCATGTTGGTTTGATTGCATCACTGTTATTCTGGTGGATTTTTTTTTTTTTTAATTTTCAAATGGGGCAACACATTTGTTCACTAGAAAATGAAATATAAGCAAACTTACATTGGGCATTGATTTAGTTCCTGTTAGAACAGGGGTCCCCAACCTTTTGGACCTCAGGGACCACCAAGTTCATAATTTTAAATTTCGCGGACCACTAATACAAATCCAGCGCACGCTTGCTGAAGCACCTGGACTCCCAGTGACGGGATGGGGTCCTTCAGGTACTCTCCCTCCTCTCTCTCTATCTTTCTCATTCTCTCTTTCTCTCCCCCTCTCTCTTTCTCTCTCTCCCCCTCTCTCTTTCTCATTCTCTCTTTCTCTCTCTCCCTCTTTCTCTCTCTTCCATTCTTTCTCTCTAATTCTGTCTTTCTCTCTTCCCCCTCTTTCTCTCTCTCTCCCCCACTCTCTCCCCCTTTCTCCCCCCCACTATCTCTCTCTCATTCTGATTCTCTCTCTGATTATTTCATTTTGTTTCTCTCTCTCAGTCTCTGATTCGCTCTCTTTCATTCTCTCTCTTTCACTCTCTCTGATTCTCTCTGTCTCTTTCTCTCTCTCTCTCTCATTCTCCCTCTCATTCTGTCTTTCTCTCTCTCTCATTCTTTCCCTCATTCTCTCTCTCTCTCTCATCTCATGGGCCAGTCAGTGTCTTGGGGCTGAGAGGGAGTCAATCATCTCCCTGAGAGACCGAGGTGCATGGACCACCAACAAGGGCCGGAAGAAGTGTGGGAGCGAAGCACTACTTTAACTTGTGCGGCATGAGCCTTCACCTTGGTATATGGTGGCAGTGGCGCAAGGCAGCCCTCATTTCCTGCCGCTTGGGACTTGGAGCGGTAAATGGTGACTGGTCCGGGGAGCAGCCGGATTTTGCTCTCCATTGCGGATGCCAGATCGGCCCCCTGCAAGCTCTCGAAGTGGTGCTGGAAACTTTGGTCGGGCTCCTTGAAAGACGAGAGCTTGCAGGGGGCCAATCTGGTGTCTGTAATGGAGAGCAAAATCCAGCTGCTTCTCTCTACTGTAAGTGCAGCATCAGGATTCCGCCTTGGTATATTTGCGGCACAAGGCAGCCCTTGTTTCCTGCCCCTTGGGACTCGGAGCAGTAAACAGCATCCGGTTCAAGGAGCAGCCGGATTTTGCTCTCCATTGCGGATGCCTGATCAGCCCCCTGGAAGCTCTCGTCTCTCGAGGAGCCCAACCAAAGTTTCCCACACCACTTCAGGGAGTGCTCCTCGAGAGATGAGAGCTTGCAAGGGGCCGATCTGGCATCTGCAATGGAGGACAAAATCCGGCTGCTCCCCGGACCAGTCACCATTTACCGCTCTGAGTCCTAAGCGGCAGGAGACAAGGGCTGCCTTGCGCCACTGGCTGGCGCAAATATACCGAGGCGGAATGCTGTTGCCGTGCAAATGAAAGTAGTGCTTCGCTCCCGCAACTCCCAGCCATCGCAAACGCCGCTTCTTCCCGCTTGTGCCGCCCCCTCCCCCACCACCACAACAGCACCATTAATTCCGGACAGCGAAGGCTGCGCTCCTTTTTCCGTATTGCACCAACTGCAAAAATATGAAAATTTCTCTGCGGACCACCAAAATTTTCTTGCGGACCACTGTGTTAGAATATGTGAATTTTTTTTAAGGATTATGTATCATTTACTTCATATTACAAATTGGTTTAGGTTATATTTTTAACAGACGGGTACTATTTGGGGGATAGGTGGATTCTGGGGAATTCTGGGAGTTGAAGTCCACCCATCTTCAAGCTTCCAAGGTTGAGAAACACTGGGTTATGGTATTCTTACATAGAGATGCATAAAAGTTAGACATAGAATGCACAGACTTTTAATCAGTGCACAGACGAAACAACATTCCTTTGTTGCTTATTTATTTAGATTAGAGATTGTATTATATGAACAAATCAAAAAGAGAATATTAAAAAGGAAGAGAAGAAAAAAAATTCACAGGTTGATAAGCCATTAAATGAGCTGGTTTATGCAATGCAGTACTGATTGTGACAGAAATTATTTAACTCTCCTAAAAAGCTTGGGGCAGTATCTGATAATATAATCCATCTATTTTCTATCAAATCTGTTAAATACAAAAGGAATCTGAAGATAAGAGCATTGACTGTTATAGAGGAATGCATGAGCTAAGGACTTCAGTTCCTCATAAACACATTGGCTCCAAAATGGGGATATTCTGCCTAGAACTGCTAGGTATCTTATTAATATAGTTCTATTGCAAAAAAGTAAATAATGATTAATTGAGTTTTTTAATATATATAAACATTTCTATATAGATATATATAGCTGTGTATGCATTGGTAGGATTTTAAATAGGGGATAATAAGTTATTAACAATCTGCATCAGTAAAATAAAATAAATTCAAACAAGCATGGTGTTCTGAATCTGAATTTATATTTATATATTCTCATTAGAAACACTTGTTTCTAATGAGAATATATAAATATAAATTCAGATTGAGAACACCATGGTTGCTTGAAACATAAGCAAACATTATATTTTGATGATGCATTCTGTCTTTTGGAACAAAAAATTAGCTTATAGTTAATCATATTTAACTTTAACATTTAATTTAACACCTAACCCAAAGATGCTGTTTTTTCTCAAATGTTGAAATCAAAACCATTATTCCAAAATTTAACTCAATAAACTGTCATTAAAGCCCATTCAAGAACAACCACATAATTGCTTCAGCAAGTTGAAGTTCTGCAAGAATTCACTGAGTCCCATGAAACTACTGATGGTAGTGAAGATAAAAACAAGATAAATCATGCCATAAATCAATCCCTGCAGATGGAGATGCACTTAGGCGCTATGAGATATATAACCATTTATACATTCAATATGTGTATAAATACATTAAAGTTGATATAGTCTTTTTTTTAATTCCCCAATCATGGATTCTTTATGGAAAGAATCCATTCCTCGACTGATGTTAACTGATCTTCTCCAAACCAGATGCATCCTTCTGGCCCAGTTGACTATACTAAGGACTTGTATCCCATTGCATTTGTGATCAAAAAACTGAACAAAAATGCAGTAGATTCAGTAAAGAGATTAGGAAAATAAATAGTCAGAGGAAGGAAAGATGAGACAAATACATTATCCCATTGGAAGAAAATAACATTTGAAAGAATATTATTATGCTTGACAATGCATTCTCCTTATAGTATATATTGGTGACCATCTAAGTAAAGAAAATAGCCATTTCAAGTACTGATTACAGAAGCTGATTTATTGCACCAGAGACTAGTATTATTTTTATCTAGGAAGATTTATTACCTGGAGTACCTAATTTTGAAACTGTTATGCCTCTCAGATGTTGATCATTCTTTTAGCAACTAACTGCAAATAAAAATGCTATAATCAGATGTTTATTATAGCAGAACAGCTGTTTACATGAAGCATCAACAGTGCTGGCTTACATTGTTTCTAGTTCAAACACTGAAATTCAACGTTTTTGCAATCTAATGTCTTACTTCAGAAACGGAGGCAATCTGTAGTACTGTGTTAGTGTCTTTACTGCCACATTATTTAGTCATTTTATGCGTTTAATTCTAGAAGGCATCATACTATGTTTTCTGCAAGTAAAATGGCCATATGTCAGGAGTGTCAAACTTGTTGCGTCACATTGTCTTGTGACATACTGTGACTTTTTCCCCCTTTGCTAAAATGGGAGTGGGCGTGGCCAGCACGTGACCCCTTCCGGCCCGTTGGCCGTGAGTTTGACACCCCTGCCATATATGCTCAGTTTATATGTGCTGGATTTCAGATAATGACCCCAAACATATAGAAGAATGGAGGACTTTCTTGGTTCCATCAGTTGAAAATTTTAAAAAATTCAAATAAGCAAATGTTCTGAAATCATAGTTAACCAATTAAGTTGACACTTTCTAAGCATCTTTATTTTTTTTATTTCATAATTTTAGTATTGCAAGCCTGTATGAAGCCTTGACATTTTAGGAGGAACTTTAGACACATCATTTTTATTCTTATTCTGGTAGATCAGAGAATTTAATCGCCAGATGCAAGGGATTTCAGGCCCTGGATTTAGTTCACTTACATTTGATGGTAACGTTGGAACTCCAGTGATTCCCCGAACATCATCTAAAACATTTTCATTTACGGATGAAGACAGAAAAACCGTAGAAGACTTGCGTATTTGGGTGGCAAGTAATCTTTTCAGTCTGCCTCCCATGAAAAAATTGTGTGACATCCAACCACCAATGTTCTTTGAATTTACCGGCAAATTAATAGGAAAAGCTAAAGTGGATGGATCTTCCTATCTTCTCAAGGTCTGTTGTTATGATTATTCTCCGTGCACACATTATGTTTTCACTGAACAGTAATTTCATACTAATCATAGGTAGACTATAATTGAAAGTATGTTTTTCCCCCTCTCATTAAAACAATTTTTAAATCTTTTGCTAGAAATGCTGCATTTTAAGTTTCTTGAAACTTTTGGAGACCAAAGGTTTCATTCAAGCAAGTTAATAACTTACAGTTTTCACTTATCATATTTTAGTTCAATTTATGGTGGCAACTTTCCAAACTGACTATATTATTTGATGGGCCTGATTGCCATTCAAATAATTAATAATACTTTGCGAAGAAAATAGATCTATGCACTTGTAAACATCCCTGCTTGAAGCCATATCCTGTTAAATCTTTTATGAATCTTTCAGTATTTCCCAGCTATGGGTTTTGATTTTTCCCCCTGTAAACCAGGGCAACTAGGATTGCTTATTAAACATAAATATATTCAAATAAAAATATATTTCCAAGGATTGAACTGCTTTGCTTCTTTCAAACCTTAATGCTTTTCAACTTGCCAATGAACTGGGGGGAGGGAAGGGGGAAATGGAATGCGAAGAGCATGAGAGTATGGAAACCATCAAGGTCACTGCTGCAGGTGTTGGAGAAAGAGATGGACTGTTCCCATAACAAAAGGACATCTCATAATTGGACACTGTGATTACCCAGGAGTGGGGAGAAGAGGAAGCTATTTTTTTAACTAGGCAAGCATTTGCATGAGAAAACCAGAGTTGGTTTTGTTTTTTCAGTACCAATATGGTGTATCCAATAAAGATTTACTTTTGGGAATTGAAATCTCCCAAGACTGTTTCCTAGTTTTGGGTTCGCTAGTTGTACAATTAACATTCTGTTCTAGTTCTTTTAAATTATTTTTCAGGAAGATTGCAAAATAATGTTCTTTATACAGAAATATGGTCTCAGAGAAATTTAACAAAATACATTTGTAGAAGAAGCTTTGGGAAGTTATAGTCTTAACAATACCTTTAAGCCTCACATTTTCTGTTCTTGTAGTTTTTAATCTTTACTCTGGAATATTATTGGTACAATTTTCTCTGATTCCAAAAAGAGTGTTCTTTGTTTCATTGCAGGTATGGGATGGCACAAAATGCCCTTTCCCATCTTGGAATGTCCTTGTTAAAGAAGAAGACCTAGAGGGAGATGAAAGTCTTCTCCGTCGATTAAAATACCTAACTGTGGATGTTGTAGCTTATGATAATCATGTGCATGTGGCAAAACTATTGAAGGTAAAGAAACTCCTTGACAATTATGGCTTCATTTTTATTTTTTTTTCTAGTTCTGTTTAGTGTTTTTTTTTTTTTAACTAAAAGTGAGTCTAGATGTACATTTATTTAAATTAAATTAATTGAATTTATATAAATTGTGTAATTGCCATGATTAGTCCCAACAAACCAAATCTCCCGGTTTGGAACAAGTAAAGTAAAGAAAATGCAATTAATTTATTATGAAACAGTTTCTTAATTAAAGGGCTATGAAATATCTTTTGGAATATAACTATGAACATTTGGAAAAGCGGTGAAGACTTCAGTTTCTTTCCTATTACTCAGATACACTATTTTTTTTTAAATGTAGCTTTTCTTGTAAATTATACTGTTTCATTATTTTTTATTTTTTAAAAATAGTACTTTTTCAAAAAAAAACCATGGACTTTATGAATTTGTGATTTGTTAGTAAATATTAATTTCTAAATGTTTCATTTTGTGATTCATACACCTTTTTGTGCAATGTAGAAAGAAAACATTTTAATCTTTATTCCTTATTAAAGAGTGACATTTTGCTAGGAAGGTTATTTGTAACATAGGAATTATTACTGCAATCAGCTCTTAAATAAGGATATATCTAGTGGTATTGCACTTTCAATATTACAATACAATTTCATTCTACTGTTAAGGTTGAGGGTGGTACAGGTAATCATCCGCTTACTACCTATTGTTTAGCAATCAAAATTATGATGGACCTGCAGTATCTTGAGGCTACTTACAATTCTGATTCACAATTGCAATGGTGCTCCTCCCGTACAGTCACATGACCAAAATGTAGATGCTCATCAACATGGCTGCAATTATACCTGTTTGCAACGTTCCAGGGTCATGTGACTCTGTTTTAAAATGGTTTTGCCAAAACCTGACAACCCACATACTGTATTTTTTGGAGTATAAGATGCACTCCCCCCCCCAAAAAAGATGGTGAAAAATACACCAAATGCAGCCCCGCCCATCCACCGGCCCACCCTTCGGCTGTTTTCGGCCTCCACACACTGTTTTAGACCTGTTCCAGGCTGCAAGGATCGCCACAGCACATCGCCGTCTCCGTGCCTCGTGTTTTTGGCCTCCGCGCATCACATTTTCGGCCTCGGAAAGCTCCATTTTAGACCCGTTCCAGGCTGCAGGGATCGCCACAGCACATCGCTGCCGATCGCCGCCTCCGCACATTGTGTTTTCAGCCTCCACGTGTCACATTTTTGGCTTCCACATGCCACATTTTTGGCCTCCGTGCATCACATTTTTGGGCGGTTCCAGGCGGCAGGGATTGGCGGCAGCCTGAAACCACCCAAAAACAACACACACGTGGAGAGACGCGCAGAGGCCAAACTCGCAACTCACAACACGCAAAGGCAGCAATGGTCTGTGGCAATCCCTGCAGCCTCGAACAGCTGATTGGGGGTATTCCAGGAGGCCAGTCCAACTGCCAATCAGCTGCTCATGCTGAATCAGGCTGCGATAATGTGCTGAAGCTGATTAGGCTGTTTGCTATTTGTTGCAAGGATCCTAGCCAGATGAATATCAATGGATGCTGGGAGGCAGAGGCAGAAAATTTTTTTCTTGTTTTCCTCCCCAAAAACTAATGTGCGTCTTATACTCCAGAACGTCTTACACTCTGAAAAATATGGTAGTTAAAAAACTTTTCCAACTTACCGTTGTTGGTATGTCTCTAATGTAGCTGGAGAAAGTTACATTTTCTTTTTAGCCATTCGCATTCTCACTTGCATTGCTGAACATGAATCACACTGCAATGCAGTCATGTACCAATTAATGCCAACCATGTCTCCGATTCCAACCTACCATATGGAAAATGAGCTCCAGTTGTTTGGGAATTTACATTTGTAGGTTTGATGCTTTTTTTTAAGCCATTTTCACTAAATAACCCTTAAGTTAAATTGGGATTTGTTTTCTTCAGTGCCACTTTTTAAGGGAAAGAGATAATTGTCTTGCCCTTGTTCACTGGAGATAAATCAAAGTTAGGGCTCCTTATTTTCCATTCTGCCTTAATTTGCTTCGGATTCTTACTAATTAAAATGCAGCAAAACAGCTTGTTTTACCTATGAGAGGTAGACTTCATCTTTTTGCTGGTACATTTTATGACAAAATAAAAACCTAATCCTGATACATTGATCCAGTTGCGCAAATGTATGGAAACTGGTTGTGTGCTCACTGTGTCAAATTCTGTTGTTCGGGAGTGAGCGTTTGAAAATCCATGCCAAGCAGAGATAGTGCTCTGACCCAGCTCCCCAAACACGACAAACCCTCTGAAATGAACTCAAAAGATTCCTTCATTAGGAGTGCCAGCAGCCCTGGCAAAAAGTTTCTCTCTCAGGCTGACAAGTCCATCTGGCCGGGAGATGAATAATTGTCTATTCAGACAACTATTTAACAATCTATCTATTCATCTCCTCCCCCTGCCTTTTATCCCCAGAGATAGGGTGGGGCTTTGCTAGCAGCGGTGGCTCTTCCTTCCCCAGGATCGGCCCATGACTTTCCACTGCTCTCCCCTTCTCTGCCTTCTGCACATCAGGCACTAGACGCAGCAGTTCTTCTTTTTATTATTATTGTTATTTATTGAATTTGTATACCGCCCTACTCCCGAAGGACTCAGGGCGGTGAACAGCCAAATAAAATACATATAATACAAATGTTAAAAAACCATTAAAATACAATTAAATAATTGGGCCGAAAAACAAAATTAAAAACACCCCAAATTCATAAGACAAATTTAAAATTTTTAAAATTTTTAAAATTTTAAAAAAGTTTAAAAGAGAGGTTAGGCCAGACCGGCCTGCTGGAAAAGAAATGTTTTGATGGCACGGCGGAAAGCGCGCAGGTCCGGGATCCTCCCTATCCGGGGGGAGCTCGTTCCAGATGGCGGGTGCCCCCACAGAGAAGGCTCTCTTCTTCATCAACCTCCTCCAGACCTGGGGGCTGTTGACTCTCCAGCTGAGGGGGACGGACAACCTAGGTTCCACCTCTCTTTCTCTCTCTGCCAGCTCCATTCCCTCTTCCCAGTGATGTGATTCAGCCAGTTCACACGACTTCGGGAGAACCGGTTGTTAACTTTCTGAGCAGTTTGGCAAATTGGTTGCAAGAAATCATTAGGGCAGAGAACCGGTTGTTAAATTACTTGAATCCCACCACTGCCTCTTCCCACTCAGAGCTCTTAGGTTGCCTTGATGCTGACCCTGACTCCCACGCCTCCTTCTCCTCCTCCGATTTGGTTGCTAGAGGGGCCGGCGGCTGACAGGCCACAACAGATAGATACAAGTGGGTCTTGACTTATTGCCATAATTGTGGCCAGCACTACCACTGCTAACCGAGTTAATTGTGAAATGAGTCACACACAATTTTACGACCTTTTTTTGCTTTGTTGTTAAGTGAATGCCATCGTTAAGCAAATCCGACTTCCTTCATTTGACTTTCCTTGTTGGAAGCTGGCTGGGAAGTTCATAAATGGTGATCCCATGATATCAGGACTCTGCAACTGTCAAAAATATACGCTAGTTGCCCTGTGCCCAAATTTTGATCATGACTCTGCTGCAACAGGTATAAGTTGGAGGGTCACTATTTTCAGTGCTGTTGTAACTTTGATTGGTCACTAAACAAAATGGTTGTAAGTCAAGGACTACCTGTAATAGGACTGCTTTGCTAGCAAGACTTGAGACTCTTAACAAACGGAACAAGGAGTTGAGGACTGAGTAGAAATACTTACTATGGAGGGGAGGTCATTGGAGAAGCAGCTGAGCAAGGGCATTGATACATAAGAAATGCATGGGACCATATCCTTTTGTTCCAAGAATGTTCTGAGTGCATTCGTCATCCTACAAGGATTTTCCAATGCAGGAGTTTTTTCTATTCATGGCTTTTTGGTTGCAGTTAAGCGGTTATGAATTTTTAAACATGGAAGTATTTCAATAACTAGTTTGTGCAGGCTTTTGCTTAGAATTTCCTGTTCACAAGCTAGAAAGGTAAACATATGCAATGCTGCCACCTCCTGGAAAATACTGATAGTGCACTAGAACTTTTTTCTAGTAAGTGTGGTTAAAGAATGGTTGCATTAGTTTTGTGTTATCTCACTGCTGAGAGGCAGTATTGATTTTCTAAACGACACTTGTGTGCAAAAATTCATGCTGCATGAGTACACAACACCTGACACACCTTTGTATGATACAAAGTTAAAAAAATTTCTGAAAACTGCAATCCATATTTACTCCTTATGTTGACTTGCTTATAAATTTAACAAAAAGTATAAATATGGCCGGTGCAGAAGTTTAGATACTCTTTTGGTCAATACTTAGATATCTTTTTTTGCAGAAACAATAGTTTCCAACCATTCCTTACAGCCAGTTAACTCTGTTTGTTTTTTGAGCTTTGTTTTTAACTTTTTACTACATAATTCTTTTAGCTCAAAAATATTCTTAGGTTTATTTACATGCACTATGCATCTGAGATCTTCCCATATAGTTTTAGTATTATTCAAGTTGGGGGACCACAAAAGCTGTTTCAAAATTATTTTCTTTCTGTCCTATACTTTCTTCACGGTTGATTTGAAGGTACAGTAAGGATTGAAGGATTGTTACCTTGCTGAAATACCCTACTTTCTTTCACTTTCAGTTTCTTCATTGACAGAGATATTCCTGATATCCATCCATCAACTTGCATGTCTTATGTAAAAAGCAATCCACTTAGAACTAAAGAATTCTGATTTGCTTTCTTTATATTCAGAATTGCGTCAGACTCCACTATTCTACATGCCTAGTAACTCAGTATATCTTTAATTTTCTAGTGTAATTAGGAAAGCTTACCATTCTATCCAGATCTACATTCAGTAACCATTATTTTACCATTTAGGATTAAGTTAAAAATTACTGTTGAATTACAAGAAAGTATACATTGTCATAATTATATGTTTTGTAGGTAGCAGTAATTCAATTCTTTTTTTTTCTGTGTATGTTAAGATTGGACAGTTCATTTCAATGTACAACGTGCATGTGAAGACCCACAGTTCTGAAAACGGGCGTGATGTCATGCAGTTTCTTCTTCATGGAGGCACCGGGCATGGCCGTGGGATTGCTGTCCTTCCCGAAAACCACCCAGATATCATAGAACTAAAGTCGTGAGTAAATAACATTTAAAATTTGGAAAGAAAACATGCCAATTTGTTCAGCCTGTTATTTCCCATTATTGGACCAGCCTTAATCAATTCAAGTATCATGCCTTGTCATTTTAATTCCATCCCCAAAATAGTAACATTCTCCAATTAACATCCCACAATTCTTTGACCAGAAATTAGAATTCTAAATGTTACGCTATTTATGAACGCTGATGTGAATCTTCGGTGCCTGTGGTAGAATATCTGTATTCCCAGGAGGGAGGGAGTGCGTTCCAAAGGACAAGAGACAGCATAGTTTAGATAGTTGGTGTGAGAGAAAGAAGGTGAAGATGGTTCCTCCTTAATAGTTCCCAAAATACATGGTTTATGGTGCAAGTAGTCTGCTTTAGTTTGACAAGACTTCTGTCTATAGGTAAGGAACAGTGGTGGGTTTCAAAAATTTTTACTACCGGTTCTGTAGGTGTGGCTTGATGGGCGTGGCTTGGTGGGCATGGCAGGGGAAGGATACTGTAAAATCTCCATTCCCTCCCCACTCCAGGAGAAAGTTACTGCAAAATCCCCATTTCCTCCCAATCTGCTGGGACTCGGGAGGCAGAGAATAGATGAGGGTGGGGCCAGTCAGAGGTGGTATTTACCGGTTCTCCGAACTACTCAAAATTTCTGCTACCGGTTCTCCAGAACTGGTCAGTACCTGCTGAATACCACCTCTGGTAAGGAACAATAAAGACATCTGCTTTGAAGAATTTCAGCATGTCTTTTCTTGGTTTTTGGAGCTTGACAAAATCCGTAAGCCAATCTTTATATCATGAATTGTTCAGGATAATTTCCATATAGCAAAATAATACTATTCAGGTACCTCTTTGAGGATAAAGCTATTATTTCAGATTTGTATTATTGTACAAAATGTAAACCGTGAGTCAGCCTGCCTGCAAGTTACTGTATTGGCTACTGTTCAGCCTGGGATTCTTGCTTTCCTACATCAGCTCCTTGTGATATAACCTACAGTAGCCTTCTTCAGTCTGGATGCTTTTGAGTGAATTTCTGGTTCCAGAATTTATTTATATATATATATATATATGCCGCCCTTCTCCGGAGACTCAGGGCGGCTTACAATGCGTTAAGCAATAGCCTTCATACTTTTGTATATTTATACAAAGTCAGCTTATTGCCCCCACAAACTGGGTCCTCATTTTACCCACCTTAGAAAGGATGGAAGGCTGAGTCAACCTTGGGCCTGGTGAGAATTGAACTCGCAGTAATTGCAGGCAGCTGAATGTTAAATGCTGCCTTAGTAGGAGGCATTAGCCTCCTACGCCACTCAGGCTCTTTGTCAGTGATAGATACACTGGGACTCTGGGACGTAACCTTTGGGAAGTAGACAAGTAAGATAAGATTAGTTCTCGCATCCTGGTTTCTCGTCTTCTTGTTAGCACAAGAGAACAAAAGAAAAAAGATGAGTTCAGAACTGCTTTCTGATTATGCGACTGTTGAATATTACAGCATAATTACTCTGTTGTAAATTCTGGTGTATATTACTTTCAAGGGAGTATACACAGGCTACTCTCCCTCTCTAGCCCCCTTACCGTGTGTGTGTGTGTGTGTTTGTGTGTGTGTGTGTGTGGTATAGATACCAGTAGTTCGTCCCAGTTCAGGCAAACCAGTAGCGGCAGCAGCGGGTGGCTCTGCCTACCCGCCCACCACCTGCCCAGACGTCATCACGGACGCTGTGCACATGCGCAGAAGGTTCTGCACATGCTCAGAAGTGCCACATGCGAGCAAAGCAAGCACGCACGCACTTACAATTCCAAACCAGTAGCAAAGGTAAGTGAAACCCACTACTGATAGAAACACACGTGTGTAGATTTGTCATTTTTTGATCTGGAACAGGGTTGGGGAACAATGATTCTTTTATGACCAATACTGTCATATTGTGACTGGCTGGCACAGGAATTCTGGGAGTTGAAGTTCACAAGTCATAAAAGAGCCATCGTTCCCCACCCTGCTATGGAATAAAAGGATATCCACAGTCATATACAAGTACGATGCTTGTTACAGTAGTACAGTAGAGTATATATCAACATTTAGTTAGCAGGGAATGCATCCAACTAGGTCATTTGTCAGATGTCAAATAACACATTACGACAATATTGGTTTTCATACACCATCACGTTTTCAAAATACCTTGTAATTTAACATTTTAGAACTGAGCATAACATTCTGCAAATAATGGCATATAAATTTAGAGGTGTGAAAATTATGGCACAATCAACATCTGCTAATATTAAAGTGTTGTCATACTTACCATTACTCAGGACGATTGACTAAAATCTAATTTCCTTTTTTAATAGTCTGATAAACTTTATTTACTTGAAGTATATTTTTTTCATTATTAGATTTCTGGACACTATCGACTTGGCCTTAAGTGACGATTCCGAAAGAGCTTCTCCGGAACCTGAAAATTCTTATACTTCATGTAAGTTTTTAAAAATGAAATAGATCATTTTCATATATTTACAGGACAGCAATGAGAAACCTGTTCCTTCAAAGTTTCGCTGAGCAACAGTCCTAGCCAGCATGTTCACCAGTGTAAAAGATACTGTGAAATAAAATTCAACAACATCTGGAAGAGTACAGATTCCTATTTTTATAATGTGGTTAAGGCCACCACTGTTTCTTTTCTTAATGCAAAATAAGATATAAGAAAAGCTAGAGCGTTTAAGTAAAAACTGTACTGTACTGTAAATGTATTCACAGAGAATAATATTTCATTTTGTAATAATAGGTACATTAATATGAAGTATTGCATTCTGAATTTATATTTAGCACTGCTATCTTGAAAATAAAATAGAATCCCAACAATATATGCAAAAATCTACATTGGTAGAATTTTCAATTTAGAATACTTATTTCACATTGCATTACAGATACGGTAGTCCTTGACTTACAACAGTCTGTGTAGTGACCTTTTGAAGTTACAATGGCACTGAAAAAAGCGACCATTTTTCACACTTATGACCATTGCAGCATCCCTAGAGTCACATGGTTTACATTTGGATGTTTGACAACTGGTTCATATTTATGACAGGGTCATAAGTTCCCCTTTTGCAACTTTCTGACAAGCAAATTTATTTGGGAAGCCAGATTCACTTAATGTTACTAAATGTTACTAATTTAACAACTGCAGTGATTCATTTAACAAATGTGGCAAGAAAAGTTGTATAATAGGGCAAAACTCAACATTAACAAATGTCTCACTCAGCAACATAAATTTTGGGCTCAATTATGCTTATAAATTGAGGACTATCTGTATATCCTCTGAAAATTGGAATAGGTAATCCTCATGCACAAGATTACTAATCAAATCCGAAAATGAACCCCCAGTATCCGTAATTATATGTGCATTATTAATTAAAATTGAACTCCACTATCTTACAGCACTACATTTCCATCTCTGTATGTTATATTCTTTTTTCTTCCTGTTTATGTAAAACAGTGATAGAAAAAAAGAAAATGAATTTCCTTTCCTTTTTTTTCCAAGTAGGATCCTGTGTAGAAAGATGTCAGCAGTTGTCTGTTACAGGTAAGAATTTCACATTAGGTATTCTGTGTATTTTGGAATGAGAAGAGAACTTCTTTTACAATAGGACTTCCTACCTAAAAAGAATAGTTGGTTTGGGGATATTTTAGAATAACATGAGGGATATTTTAGAATAACATGAGGGATATTTTAGAATAACATGGGATGTATCAGATGGAGCTACACGAATCAGTCGGTAAGTTAAATAAATACTACATTTATTTTCTTGTATAAATGCTAAAATAATTATAAATTTATAAATTAAAAATTAATTTGATTAAACTAATTTATTTATAAGCAAACTATAATAGGGCATGAAATTGGGGGGGGAGGGGCAAGGGTCTTAGAGCAGCAGAAGTATTTTTTTGCTTGGCTAGGAAAGCATTTTGTCCTGGCCTGTAAAATTGTGAAGCAAAACCTAGTTACCCCCCAGTTTTCAAAATTCCTGGATGCACTGATACTCTGCTAATATAGAAAAAACAAAACACATGCATATTTTAAGAAAAAAAATATATAAATATTTATTTAAATGTGGGGTATATCCATATATTAAAAGATGAGTGCAGAAATTAAATAGGAGAATTTGTGAATATGCACAAATGTTTAATAAACTGGAAATAAGTTTGCCCATCCTCAATTCAACATGTTATTATACGTGGTGGCTCAGTGGCTAAGACACTGAGCTTGTCGATCGAAAGGTCAGCGGTTCAAATCCCTAGTACCGTGTAACAGGGTGAGCTCCCGTTACTTGTCCCAGCTTCTGCCAACCTAGCAATTCGAAAGCACGTAAAAAATGCAAGTAGAAAAATAGGGACCACCTTTGGTAGGAAGGTAACAGCATTACGTGTGCCTTTGGCGTTTAGTCATGCCGACCAATGACCATGGAGATGTTTTTGGACAGCGCTGGCTCTTTGGCTTTGAAACAGAAGCGCACCGCCCCCTAGAGTCAGGAACGACTAGCACATATGTGCAAGGGGAACCTTTACCTTTTTAGTTGAACAGGACACATGCTTTTAAGTGGTCTATATCGTTTAAACTTAAACATTTGAAATACCAATTAATATAAATATGGTGACAAATTGGGCAAAGTAGCTTAATGAATTACTGATGATGTTCATGCATGCCATTTGTTCTTGTTTGTCCAAATGCTTTTTGTGTTTTTATTGTTTTATAGTATTAACCGATCACCAGCACTTTGATTCAACTACACTGAATACTATCAGAATGAGCAACATTCCTCAGAACTATCGCATCAGAGCTAGGCTGGTTAAATTTGAACCCGAGAAGCTCTATCAGTCTGTAAAACTTCATTGCCCTCAGTGCAATTCATTGTAAGTATCCAAATGACAATGGATATTGGTACAGATACCTTGTAAGTTGCTGGAGCTGTTACAGTTATTGCTTACAGGATAGAATAACATTATATATTTATTCCCCTGCAATTTAAAGTGTACAATAAATTCCTCGTTTATTTTGATATTCAATATTTGATTGTTAATATTGTTGTTTTATATATTGAAGATTCTAAACTACCATAATCAAAGGTTTACAGTTGGACTTTGAAGATGGCTAGTTTTGCAGAGATGGCGAAGATTTCAGCATATTTAAAAGACTGTTCACAAGAGACTTATGAGTGGGAATGGAAAAGGTGGATAGAATACATTCAGAACAAATATCAAACTAGAAAGTACCAAATAGCTTTTATTTGAAAATAATGTATTGGAAATTTTTTAATGTAATGAGGTAAAGAGAAAAATTATACAGGGGAGGGAGGGGTTCAAGTTTATATATAAGTGTTATATTAGGGTTCTTTATGAGTATGAGTATATTATAGGGAAGTCTGGGGGGAGGGGAGGGTTAGGGAGGGTTAGGGAGGTTGGGAAGTTTGGGGGGGGGTGGGGGGGAAAGGGGTGAAAATGTAATTGTAAAACTTTTGCAATAAAAAAAAAAAGGTTTACAGTAAAAACACAAACACTAAAAGCTGAAATTTGAATGAAATCATATCCAGTAAAGTCAAATGCAGTGCAGAATGAAAACACCATACAAGCTAGGCAATGATAAGGGGTTCATTCAGAGTCTAAAACAATATGAATGTTTGCAAGTAAGTGTTCTGTTATATTCCAATCAAACTCAACATGCAGTTTTCTTGGCGGTGTTAGAGAAGATATTTGCCATTGCCTTTTCCCTAGAGGCTATGTCACTTTGTCATCCACCTTACAACCCTAATATTTCTAGTCTCCCTTCCAGGCAATACCTTGGCCAGTTTCATCTGACTTTTTAAAATTGGCTAGGCATTGCCAACGTCTAGCTGCACTTGGCTGACCTAATCTAGCCGCAAAAGCTAAGAAGATTGGGACTAGTTAATACCTGAATTTGATAATAATTTGATAAAGAATACCAAGATTGTAGGCTGGATTGAGAAGTAAGAAAAAAAAATCCAGGTTTTCCAATTTTTTGCAAAAAGTCTCTATCCACTACCCAAACTCCAAAAAAACCACAACTTCTACCCAAGAAAACTATGTGAATGTAACAATGGAAGTCATGAAGAGTTGAATTCCACTTGAGGGGGATGATACCTTTTAATATATGCCAATATATCTTTAGAATTCTTTTGTTTAAAAATTTACATATGCACGTACTGTATGTAAATGGTGTAGTAGTTGAAAATTCAGCAATCTGACAGGTAGAGTCTGTAATTCTTTTTTTTTTAATTTGCTCCCAAATAAAATGGCAACAGCTGCCCAGCTCCCTATTCAGAAAATCCACTAGTGAAAATGGCCAGCCAGGGATCCAGCTGTGCAATGGTCTTATCAGATATCAGGGAGTGCTTTATGGGTAGAAATAGTGTAAGGTTACTTTTTGCCCAGTATGAAGTTACCTGTCTGTTTGTATTAATATACTATCTCAAATATTAAGCAACTCTGAACCTTTTTCTTTTTCAATCAAGCTTGAATGCTTTATGGAGATTTAGTCTTCCTAGTCTTTTTTGTTTGTATTTATTTATTTATTATTTATTAAGTTTGCTTAATATCTTGCAAGGTGATACAGTAACACACCAAGGCCTTAAAATGTGCAGCCTCTCCATCGTGCATGTGGAAATGTTGAATTATCTACATTACAATTTTTGACCATATCTTATGATTTATGATTTATCACTTTGTTGATTGGATATACACTGAGAGCTTATGCACCGGAGACAAATTCCTTGTATGTCCAATCATACTTGTCCAAAAAAGAATGTTCTATTCTATTCATATTGTATTTATTGAAAAGTTACTTTAAGCACATTTCTGGTGTTCAATTCAGGCTGTCATTGTTTCAGGCAAGAAATCCCAGATGGGACTGAACTTGATTCAGTTTTACGAGAAGCTTCAGCGACGTGTTCAGATTCAAACTTGCAAAGCCCCTCGTTCTGCAATTCTATTGTGTGGCGGACTGAAAATCAGGGGCAGCGGCAGGTAGCTGTTCATTTTGTGACACACAAAGAACTACTTCAAGACCCAGAGGACACTTTAGTTTTCCTAGAAGGTTAGTTAATTAATTGTATACATTTCATTGTTCATTATAATAAACTGTTATCCTAAAAACATTTGCTTATGATCTGTTAACCCCTCATATACTTCTAATAAGTCAACAAAGTTGAAGAGAATAGTTCTATACATGTTGTGGCCCACCAGCGGCTTGTGCGGATCGTGGCTGATCCTGATGACAAGGAGGCTGGTGTGGTGTCGTGCCAGCAGCCGGCGCTCGCATTGGACAGTGAGGAGGCTGAAGAGGATATGGTGCCAGAGGCAGAGACTCAGCCAGGGCCTTCAGAACCTCCAGAGGCTCCTTCAAGTGGATAGAGCGAAGTGGAGGAGCCTCTTCTCAATGCTCGAGCACGCAGGGCTGCCAAAAGGCAGGAGTGGCTACTCAGAAGGAGGAGGTTTCCTCGAGAGTAAGGCTTGAGGATAATTGGCCACTCCCTTAGCCTATTTAAGTCACACGCTGTTAGTAAGTTTCTTACTGGAAACAACTTGTAATTATCATCAGAGCATTTTTGGAAAAGTCTTATCGTATCTTGTTTTTTGGGCTGATTGCCAACCTTTGCCGGACTTTGGTTTATTCTTGCTACTTAATAAATTTGATAAGGACCGTTGGTGTGTGTCAATATCCTCGGGAATCAGGAACTGGGGCAGAACAATACATTAGCAGTACATACACACATTTTTAGTTCTTACTACATAAGCACACGAGGTCTCACCTTTTTTTTTTCCTGTGTTGCTTTGGGAAAGAAAGAGAAATAGAAAAGTGAGAATATGGGTATGAATAAAAGAAATACTATAGAAGTGACTTCCCACTTCACAGCAAGTATAAGTAATTTTAGTAAATTTATCACCTCTTAAAATGCAAGAAATGATGTAATCTTCCCATATCACATCTGTTTATCTATAAAGAAATCCATAAAGCATGGTCATTTCAATCCATGGTGTCAACAAAAGTCGATTAAAGATTTCCAGAGATGATTGCATATCCGTTTTATTTTTTTATGAAAGAATCTAGCTTTATATTCCTTTTGCTTCTAACAAACTTTATTTCTTTTTATTTTTCTTTCTTATGAGATTTTTCAAAACTTTAACGAGCCTCTTTAGCAAAGCCAATATAGGAAAAGTATTCAGGTAACTCCTTTGGTTTATTGTTGGTATATTCCTTTTAATTATTAAGACATCAGGCTTTTTTGCTTTTAGGATGTCCAGTGTAACATCTTTCTATAGACATTCTTGTAGCCTATCACTTGTAGACCCAGTTTCAACTCAGTCTCAATCTTGTCAGGTAGAATGTATTCCTCTTTCCTTGCATCTTACAGACACTTTCTCCATAGAAGCAGATGTTCTGTTGACTATTAAAATTAACTTTTGAGACCTTTTTTTTAAAAAAAAAAATATTCTTTAAAATTAGAATATTTTGCATTCTGTAATTGTGTCTTGTGTAATTCTGCCTCTCTCCTGCTGAGAATCACCTTGTAGGGGAAATGGGCAGCATAAACATTTAATAAATAAATAAATAAATTTAGTAACATTGTAAATTGAGTTAATATGTTCCTTTTTTTTCTTTTTTCTTTTTGGTAATTTTTAGTTCCGTCCAGTTTCCTTTGACCTCCAGTTTTTAAAATCTTATCTTAGTATTTTTTCAGATATAGATATTTTTGACCTGAATGATTAGGATAGAAAAATTAATCATAAGAACAAGAAGAATTAAAACAAGGAAAATAAGGATATGAAGAAGGACTTGCAATAATAACAAACACAATCAGAAATTTTAACAATATTTTTATTGTTTTATATATGGGATGTGATTTCACTGAGCTATGGCTGCAAGTTGAGAAACTTGGTTTACGTAGGAAAATACCCGGCTGAAGATAGATAGATAGATAGATAGATAGATAGATAGATAGATAGATAGATTGATTGATTACTGTATAATATATATATTGTATAACTTACATCTATTATACAGTATGTATGTGTATGTATACACAGACATTATAAACTGTATAATATATATAATATATATAATATATAGTATAATATCAATTATGTTTATTTTATTTGTGTGTGTGTGTATATTATATACATTTGTGTATATATATATATATATGTATATAATTGGAAGCTGCAATCAATCAGTCTTCCAGCTGATTAAAATGTGAGATGCAATGCCTTTCTTACTGCAAGCATACTTTTAACTTAAGCATCCTCTGGATGTCAGTATTCACACAAAGATAAAACTGTATTCATACTTAAAAGCAAAGGCCTTGTAATATATTTAATTTTATAGGAGCATATAAAACTTTACTTCTGGAAGGGATTTAGGCACAATCTACAAGATCATACCATTTCTGAGATATAGATGTGTTGGCTTGGTTTGACTTTTTATTGTTTTTAATTCTATTTGGCATTGCTTTCTCTGTAGTCTGCTCAGAGTCTCCAGGATATAAACTGGAGGAAATAAACAAATACAAATAAAGATAATGATAATTAAAAGGAATGGCAACTATCCAAGTAGATTAGTTATACACAGCTATTTAAGTGTGCCAATAGAAAGAAATTTCCTGCCTAAAATGTGTCATTCAACTTTTATGACAGCTTTTTAAATATCATATTTAACATTACAGAAGTGACTAACATTTGTGAAAAAATCACGTATGTTGTAATATAAACAAATTTGACATTATATATTGGAAGCTAAACGGGGGAATATGCCATTTGGATTCTGCTGGGATTTCTAATGCATCCAGCTGAACACTCTCAAGCAATATTAATTAACTTCCCGACTTCTCAGCAAGATGGTATAATGTAGCATAACAGTGGTCCATATTTCATAAACTTCTGTGCGCAATCATTTGGAATTTGGAGATTTAGAGTCAATTGGATGTAGCACAGGTGTTGTTTTTTTTTCAGTTCAATATATGGAAATCTGAATTAATCCATAGCGGAGGATAATAGGTGATGGTTGTGGTTAGGAAGACGGTGTGTGGTATGCTGGGAATTTTTTTATTTAAAAAATTGAAAAAAATAATCTGAGTTGAATTCTAAACGGTTCACCATTATTTTAACATTTGACAATCAGTGTAGCTATGAAATGTTTGTATACCTTATCTTCTACTAATCATGTGACATCTACATTTGTTTCCACAAACTACAGATACATTAATGCCCAAGGATTAATGTGGTAGTTCAGTGAATATAATACTATTTAAATAATCAAGATTTTCTTTAATTTTTTTTATAGGAGGGACTCTGAATGAAATCTTGACCTTCACTTGCAAATTTAAAGGAATTATACCAGTGACCGCCAAAGAAGACTCTCTTGTGCTATTGGATCTTTCAGTTCCATATTTTTGGGAAGGAAACATGCAGTATTATGGGTAAATGCAAACATAAAACAATATATGCTTAAAGCATAATATTGCATAAAGCAATATATGTATACATATACATATACAGCTTTGTTCATTTAATCAAATTTTGATGGTTAAATCTCTGATCTGCAAGTATGAAATGTTTGAGAAGCTATATTATAAATAAATTGAGCAAATAATTAATTATAACAAATAGCTCAGGCGACATAGTTCAGTTCAATTTATCCTATAGTTGAACAAAATGATCATAGAAAATTATCCATGTGGTCAATAATAGACAGTGACTTATTGACACATTAAAAAATGAGCAAATTGAAAAAAATATAGCTGAAACTTTATGGATTATGGTGTTTCATCTATTATAGTCTTATCATCCATTTTATGTTAGCTATAGAAAAGATTATATAATAATTTTGAAAACTATATTGTTAAAAATTGTAAAAGACAATGATTTTCCCATTGGGGCTGTACTCCTTCCAAGTGACTTAGTGTAACCAAACATAGTAGTTAAACCAATTTTACCTCCAATAGATTCATAGACTTTCAAAAGGAATTCACTGTCCCAGTGTCATTCACTGAGTGTACACTAGACAGTATCCCTAAATTAATCCAGTCTTTACGGATGGATGGATGGATGGATGGATGGACGGACAGACAATTTTGCCTCCTAAATATGAATATCATACATGGCTTGGCTTTGCTAAATCAAGATATGTTGATTACAGCATTCTAGCAATCTATTATTTTATGAAAACATGAGGAAGATTAGTCTGAAATATTTTTTTTCATACTTCAAGTCACTGTTGACTCCTGACATCCGCCTAAACTAGTCCCTGCAGTTTTACTGGAAAGGTTTTTTTTAGAAATCTGGCCTGCTCGCACAAGCACACCCCACAAGGGCTTGAAGTCTTTATTGAGGCTTCACCAGCACCGAATAGTAATTCCCAGGACAGGAATCAGAGCAAGACCCAATGAGTCCAATTTCTCAAAGTCAGGAAAAAAACAGAGAAAGTCCAGTAAAGACAAGTCCATGGTCCAAAAACACAAATCCCACAAGCCAAAATCCAATTCCAAGGTCCACAAGGTAAAGTCCCGAAACAGAGTCAAGGATGACGTTCCAAGGCTAAGTACACTGGGGCTGAACAAACACACAATCCAAAATAGAAGAGTTGTTCTCAGCGTCACTCTGCTCCATGTGCAGGGCTAAATAGCCACCAGCCAATGCAACTCATTAGGAGGGGCGAGACTGCTTCCTCCCAAGTAGCCTCACCAACCTCCATTACACCTCTCCTCTCACTCCTGCGGCATCCTAAGATTCAGCGAAGGAGACAGTTCCTCTTTATCCCCATTCATTGGCTGTAGCTGTGCCCTTTCTCTACTCTCTGTTTCTGGCTGGTGTTCCGAGCATCTTGGCTGCAGCTGTGTTTCTTCCTTTCCGTTGTCAGCCAGCTGCTTGTCTGATCACTCCTCCGGCCCTTCTGAAGTTCCCGGTCTCTTCTCCTCTTCTTGCCCATCCCTCCTGGTTCAGAATCCCCCACATCTTCCAGATGCTGCACCACGTCCTGCTGCCAAGTTCTTGAAACAGGCTCTTTTTCATCGTTTGAACCTGGGGCTTCCATGACACTAGGGCAGAACAAGAGTGACTGGCCCAAGGTCACCGAGCTGGCTTTGGGTCTAATTAAAAGCATTCAGAAAAATACACTACAAAAATACAAAATAAAATCAGCAAGACAAACATTAAAACAATAAGAGAAAGTAAAAAGTAACAATTAAAAGTTTAAAAATCACAGCAGAATTGATACATGAAAGAATAAAAGTATTTTTGTCAAGTGCCAAAGAGATAATAAGGATGGTGCCAGATATAACTAAGAGCCAATTTGGTGTAATGGTTAAAGCATTAAAACTAGAAACCGGGATCAGCAAATAGATTTTTAGGGATACCCCAATGTCCAATTCTCTGCATGTTCCTTTAGGTTGTATGGCCAAATAATTTATTTTTGTGGGCAATGATTTATAAAAGCCATTACTTTCCGGTGCTTTATTAAAAGAAAAACCTGTATTTAAACCTGTATCAATAAGCATGATGTTGAGACCAGCTGAATCTATATGATTTATGATGATTTTTAATTGATATTTTGTTCCAAATGCTAGGTGCAAGCACTGTTCCAAACCTAAGGCTATGGAAAGTCTGGGTTGTCTTGCTTCAAAGCAAAATCCATCTTGGGAACACACTTCTATAGCACAAGGTTATGTGATATTCTTTTGCTATTCAATAATATTGGACTTTCATTCAGCAGTTTATGTGTAACTTAAAGTAGTCAAATTATTTCAGTGGGGAAGGAAATGCCTAAAACTGTCTTGCTTATCAGGTGAATTTTATGATAGATGCCACAAGATGGTTAAATTGTACAGAATATACCGTATTTTTGGGACTATAAAATGCACCGGAGTATAAAACACACACCAAGATTTCAAAGAGGAAAACAAGGAAAAAAGGTTTTTGCCCTTCCCGGCCTCCAGGAGCACTCTGGCCCATTTTTCGCAAAAACTGGGCAGACAGAAGGTTTGGGAGGCCTGCAGAATGCTCCTGGGGGCTGGGGAGGGCAAAAACGTGATGCGTGAGGGGTATGGGAGGTGAAAAATTTTTGGCCTCCCAAACCCCCCACGTGTCGCATTTTTGCCCTCCCCAGCCCCCAGGAGCATTCTGCAGGCCTCCCAAACCCTCTGCGCGCCCCATTTTTGTGAAAAACGGGCCTGTTTTTGGCAAAAATGGGATGCGCAGGGCGGGGATTTGGGAGGCCAAAAATTGCTGTATTCGGTGTATAAGATGGACCAACATTTCCACCCTCTTTTTTTGGAGGGGGAGTGTGTCTTATACTCTGAAAAGTACGGTATTCATCCACAGGTGAAGAAAGGGAGACAATATATTTAGCTAAATTTTAAAAAGATGCTATAAATAAAGCACTTTGTATATAGGACAGGAAATGCAGCATACACGTTTCTATATTTTTGTGTTTATTCTGGTATTATTTAAATAAGGCATATAGACCAAAAAGAAATAGAAAATAGATTTAGTAATCAAAGCAGAGTTAGTAATTTGCAAATAATTATATCATTCCATCAAAATTGGTGAATAGCTTTGTGAAAGCTTACCGGCTAAATCTTTATACAACAGTCTTTTGGCATTACATTCCAATGAGCACTATACTTGCTAGACTTTAAATGTTTATCAACATATATCACAACTTCTACTCTGGAAAGTTTTTTCTTGATTATATTGCTGATGAAAACATTTTAAATCCCAAAGAATGGAAACATGGATGCAAAAATGACTGCACAAAATACTCACGTTTCTAGATACCTTTAAAAAATGTAAGCTTTAACCAATAAAAGAAACCTTGCCTAATTATGTATTTGCTTTTGTCACTTGCAGGCATTTTGTTCTACCAAGGAATGTATTAATGATTTGCATTTGTTAGCTTTTCTGCTATCATTTTATAATTTTTGCATGGACAATAAAAATTAGATTAGAAATATCATCAAAGATGAGTAAGAAAGGGTTTAAATGCAATTATTTATTGGCCGAGTAATGTCAGAAATTTATTTTTCCATAGAAGTAGATTTTTTTTTCTCTCCTTTTGTTCCACAATTAACAATCAGACTGCCATGGCTGACCCACAACTGACATGCAGCACTGAACACGCTATTATTCCACTGCTAATTGCAACAAATTAGAAAATGCTGGCGCGTGTGTGACTTTTTTTTTTCCAAAATCAAGGGTACAATAACTTTGAGGAACAGGAGGAAGAGCCACAATTAAGACAGTGGTTAGATAAGAGAAATGTGAGTCCAAAGCAGGAATGCCTTTTGAGAAAGCATCTCAGACTTGATTTTCCCTAGTTCTTTTAAACATAAGGACAAGAAGGGGAGAGGACATACAGATTTTCAAAATTCTGTTACTGCAACATTATAATGGTAGTAGTATTAGCATTCATAACTTTTGGTTTGGACTTCCTCAAAGGGATTGATAGGAGGAGGAAGTAGATATTCCGAGATATTCTACACCTATTCCCATCATAAAGTCACCCCAAAATGGTCAGAAATCATTCCTTTAAGAAGTGGATTTAGGCACACAATTCAAAAAGGGAAAGCAAATCACTTTCATTCCCATTGTTAATTTTGAGCCCAAAAGAAAACATTACACAAAAAAAGGCTTTGCGCTTTTAGTGACATGATCATGTTCCCAGATGCAGTCCTCTGAAAAGTTGAGAGACTGAATCAGAGCCCCAGCTTTTCAAATGTTGCTTATTTTCATATATGAAGCTTAAAGTTGGCTCAGCTAAAAGTGTAATGAGAAGTATTCTGTAAACAGCAATTTATTGGACAGCATTGCGGTAACAGAAATTTCCTTGAAATATATACTCAGTCTACTCTTTAGACCAGTAAGAAAAGTGGTGAGAAACATAAACAAATGATAGATGTTCCAAAATTAATATAGTAAAACAACCTTCCATATACTGGGCTCCCCATGTGTTTGATTTCAATTCCTGTAGTCCACCATTGAGTTAAAATTCAATACATCTGGAGAACATAAAGATAAGAAAAGCTATCCTAAAGCAAGCATTATTTTTAAAAATAGCCTATCTATTGATGATCACTTAGAAGGATACTTTTCTCTGACTTCCCCTACTCCAAAATGTTTGAAATTCAACTGCAATCTATTTCACTGAATCCTGCATTAAGAATTGGTTATACAAAATAAATAAATAACCTTGTTGGTTGGTTTGTTTAGTGGGGTGTATCCTGCAGGGAATTTCTGCAGGAAGCTGTTCTCTTTTTGAAGAATCTATAGGTAAATTTAACTGGGTGAACTTCCAACTCCCAGAATTCCTGAGCTAGTATTGCTGATTGGGGAATTCTGGGAGTTGAAATCCACCCAGTTAAAGCTGCCAGGATTGAGAAACACTGATCTATAGTATTTTCCCACTATCCTGATTAGAAATAATTCTGGGTAATTAAAATAATTCTGCCACAATGGCAACAAGGTTTAATAGGGGCTGTTGGTCTGAGCTCTGAGCTTGGCAATTTGGTTGCAAACGTTTCGTCACCATTCGAGGAGACATTGTCGGTGCGCTTTGACGATGTGTCCTTGAATTATGACGAAATGTTTGCAACCAAATTGCCAAGCTCAGAGCTCAGACCAACAGCCCAACTACCAACCTGAGCTATTTATGTTCAAATACATTCAAGGTTTAATATACCCAAATGAAGCTACTGAAGTGTTTCTTTAACCTTACATTAAATGTATACCTTGTAAACTGTCTTCTAATAACTTTTGCTTTTGCTTGTCTTCTAATAACTAAATGCTTTTGAGCACCTTTCACTGAGATATTGATCATGCTTGGTCAAGGGGTTATAAATGAATGAGTCAGCTCTGTTTCAGTGGCATGTGGAAATACTCAGCTCAAGTGTGCTACAGTACATTGTATTCTAGACACATAGTACATGTGTGTGCATGTGTGTCCACAAGAGCATTACAGCTGAGATCTCCTTCAGCTTTTCTATAAGAGATTTCAACCAATAACCCTTGACTTCATGAGACTTTTGAAATAAATTAATTTATATTTAATTATTAAATGCTATTGTTGCCTTGAGTCATTTTTAAATAAAGTTTTTGGTCTGCTTCTGCTTAGAGTTAGGAATTGTACCTCTCGAGTACGTCTTCGTGATGAAGTTTACATTGGATGATGGAACAGGAACATTGGATGTATATCTCCTGGACAGTGTAAGAGAATAGATTATTGGTCTCTTGAGTTAATTAGATTAAGTCTAAACTTATATTTGATCAAAGCTATTTTTGTAACAAAGTGAAGATGGCAAGGACTATGTAGTAATTAAAAACATATGCTCAATTCCATGTACAGTTGATTGAAAAATAAGCATATCCAAGTGCCTTTGTAAATATAGAAAGAAAGATACTTACACTGGGCTTGGTTTCAACCTGTTTACTTATTTTCCAATCCTCCTGGAACATCCTTCTGGTTTTTTTCTATTTTAAACGTACTTAATTCACTGGGACACTTTTGTAAATAAACAATTTATTTAATAAACACAAGGTAATATAATCAGTGGGCATACAAACATACAAACAGCATGTATACACAAACAAGGTAATATAATCATAAAAGTTGTCACCTTTAAAGCCTTTCATGGCTTGGGACCAGGTTATCTGAGGGACCATCTCTTGACGGTCACTTCTATCCAACCTATCAGAGCGGAGAGGCAGGTAATGTTGCAGGTCCCATCCCCAAGGAGATGCACCTGGTGGGACCCAGAAGAAGGGCTTTCTCCATGGTGGCTCCCTCTCTCTGGAATATCATTCCCCCAGAGATTAGAATGGCTGCCACTCTAATACTCTTCCGGAAGGCGCTGAAGACCTGGTCCTGCCAGCGGGCCTGGGGAACCCAGAGCGGGATGGAGCCCATTAAATGGCTCGTGTGATCTGTCGCCATGGGTGTGTATGTGTGTGTGATTTTGTTATACTGTACTATATTAATTTATTTGGTTCTTTTTGTTAGTTTTTATTGTTTTAGATGTGATTTTATATTCTGTAAGCTGCCTTGAGTCGCCATGGGCAAATAGGCGGCAATATAAATGCAATAAATAAATAAATAAGATACCAATAGGAGAAGGTAGTAGAAAGATGAGAAGGATAATAGCAATACAGCCGTACTATATTATTGTATGCCCATATAGCCGTGGGTAAATAGCCTTAGACATAAGACAATACTGTGGTAATTAGATGTTTAGTGATGGCATGAGGGAAAAAACTATCTTTGTGTGTCTAGTTGTTTTGGGATGCAATGCTTTCTAGCAGTGTCCTGATGGGAGAAGTTGAAACAGTTTGTATCCAGGATGTGAGGTGCCAGTGGATATTTTCTCAGTCCTCTTCCTGATCTGTGCAGTAAACAGGTCCTCAATGGAAGACAGGCTGGTTGCAATTGTTTTTTCTACAGACCTAAATATCCGTTAAGTCTGTACCTGTCCTGTTTGATTGTTTACCAAACAGGACAAAACAAAATAAAAAGCTTTTATTAAAACATAAAATTAATTTGTATTTTATGACTTTCAGCTCCTATTCCAAAATGAAATATTTGGAAGAAAAACAAACTGTTTAATAATGTCAACATTATTTTTATTCTTTCTTCCAGAAAAAATTCTTCCAAATTCCAGCTTCTAAAGTCTTAATCAATACTATATATCAAGAGAATATGGAGAGCATTATGAGTAGACTTTGCCCTACAGGCAGAACCCTAGGTAAGGAATTTATTTTGATGAAACTATGCAGATATTCTTTCATTATGCACTTTTTATTATCTGTTATATTTGTCTGTTACATCTGTCTTTATACTGCAATTTGTCCTAACCCTAAGGACGGGAAAATAAATTAATTTACATATTTTCTAACTGCATAATAAATCCCTTTGGTTAAGTTCTGTAAAGACAGCCATTTATATTTGATTCTTCCAATGTTAAACATTTCATTAAGGATAATTCACCTGTAGGCTCATACCTAATCACTAGGTGATTGCAGTTAGTTGCCATGAGAATATACTTGAGATCTTTCTGATTAACAACATCCTAAAAGGGCTCTGGTTACCAATGTAGGCTTTTTGTCAGAATGCAATTTGAATGAGCTTCTAGATATCTACTAGAACTGCAAAAGAGGAATGAAAGTTGTAGGTTGAGGGACAAAAGAAGGAAGGTGTTGAACTATCTCCCATTGTATCTGTCTATCCTTTTTAATATGGCAGAGTTGACACACTCAATTAAGCAGTGCTATTTATCGGGATCTTGGAAGCGTGCTTTCTCTGTTGCAATGCCCTCTGGAAGGAGGTTCCTCCTAAGATCCAAATAGCCCCCAGTCTGCTGGGGCCTGAAGATCTAGTTCCTTGCCTAGGCTGTTGGCAAGGATGACTAAACCTTTCTTTTAAGTTAGGTTGTTTTCTTTTGTTTCTACCTGGTTTATTAATCTGCTATGTCTACCTTTTTTAGTTTCTGCTCATGCTTAAATCATTTGTAAATTAATGTCAGGCAGCATATACATTTAATCATCATCATCATCATCACAAAATATAAAGACCTCCAGATAGAAGGATGACTAGCAAAAGAAATCAAAGATAGTACCAATAGTAATAGGAGTCTTGGTGCAATCCCAAAACATATGGAACACCACTTGGCATTAACAAAATCACCATCAATCAATTGCAAAAGGCAGCTTTACTTGGAACAGCTTCCATCCTAAGACATTACCTTCAATATTATTAAACAACAACACCTGTCTATCCCAGATTATTGGGAAGGGCTCAATAGCTGGACAAAAGAGCCAAATCCATTTTGAATTTCCGGTTGATTATGTGACCATTAATCATAATATCTTGACTATTACTAGTTGCAGGAGAAGAAATAGTAAAAAAACAGTGGAGTTCTAATGGGACATTTGCAATAAAGTGAACTGAGAAAAAGGTGGTTTATGAAATAAGAAAGCAGGGGAAAATTAGAATAAAACAATCTAGTACCAGATACCTTGGAATCATATTCTTAGATATTATTTCTGAACAAGGAAAATAACAGCACTATGGCTAGAATTCTCTACCCTATAATTCTCTAGAGTAACAGAAGCACAAAGGGATCCATACAAAGAACAGATTTTTGCCTATCTCTGACAAGAAGATCAAGGAGTCAGTGAAATCTCTTTTCTATAGTAGGGAGGTACTGCTCCTAACTTCTGAACAATGAGAACATAAACTCTTAATATGAAAGCAGTCCTGCAGATATTCCAGCAAAAATCTCTAGCCAAGATGTTGAATTGCATCTAAAAAGTAATTGGAAACTAAAACATATATATAAATGCAGGCATTACGTGTCAAACAATTGGAATGAATAAAATAAGAGAGAAAATGTTAGTTGAAAAGGGTCATTCTTGGTATTCTGCCAATGCTTTGACTTGAATAAGAGAAGCTATTCCAGCATGTCACAAAACTGCTGCTATCAAGTATAACAAAGGAAAGCCTATTAACATATTTTGGAATCATGTTTAAATACTAACATGAAAGCCAGCATAGAGAGCTGCCAAATTCCTGTTTCTATAGGTAGAAAGATGCAATATAAATGTGATTACTTCCAAGCTAATTTTCAAAAATCTAAGTACGATGTCAACCATGTTGCCAATTTTTTTCACAAACCAAGGTCAGAAACCAGTTGTATGAACCTAAACAATTAGATTAATCCATTATAGTCTAGAAATAAATGACAATTCACTCAGTGACCTTCGTTGGAGAATTGCAGATCAGAAATACGTCAGTGATTTGCCTTGATATGTATTGAAGCATTGAAGTTTACTGAAAAGTTCTGTCTGAAATATTTTGCTATTTAGTAAACTTTCTTTGACAGGAAATCAAGACTTATTTTTTTCTCTTTTTTTCATTGCAGCAAAATATTTGCAAAAGCTATGCATTTATGTTGGTTATTTTGTTTTGAGTGTATTCAGTTCGGGGGGGGGGTGTTACATTCTTCCATTCAACTGGATCCGATCCTTGGGGACTGCTTGTACAAGTCCCTGTAGTTTTTTTGGCAATGTTTTTCAGAAGTGGAAAAACCTTCCTAGGGCCAAGAGACAGTGATTGGCCTATGGTCACCCAGTTGGCTTTGTACCTAAGGCTATAGTACCTACAGTAGAGCTCACAGTCTTCAGGTTTCTAGCCTGATGATAACTTTAACTGTTACACCAAGCTGGCTCTCAAACCTACTTAATCCTATGCATCATCATCATGCAAAAAAACTATTCATTTGGATGCTAAGAATGCAACAGGTGCATGATTGGAAGAGCAGAAGGTTCAGCTTAAGGACAGGTCATCATGAAGAAAATCTATGTGGTTGCGAAGAGCCTAACAAAAACGTGTGGGGCAGATCAAGCAATTGATCAAGAAAGAATTCCCTTCAAAGATACACATTATTTTCGAGACAGTAATTGCATTGTCCCTCTGTTCTTGGAAAAGATAATAGAGTCCTTCTTTTCCACCCTCATCACTTCTCCAAATATATTATTAGGGCAAATTTAGGGATTTTTTTTCTTTGAAGTCCATGTTCACAGTTATTTGAGATCTGTCCTTTAAATTTGTCATTTCATAACTTAAAATGTATGTATATGAGATCATTTACTATCCCAGTTCACTATATACCTTATTTTTCGGACTATAAGACACATTTTCCTCCACCCTCCAAAAGTGGGTGGAAATGTCTGTGTGTCTTATAGAGCGAATATAGCAGCAGCGGAAGTGGGAGGGGATTGGTGCAGCGCCGATCAACTGTTCTAGGCAGCAGGGGCCGCCATTGCCTATTGCCGCCGCCTGTTCACCACGGATCATTTTAAATGAGTGGTGAACGGGCAGCGGCAATCCCCACCGCCTAGTACAGCTGATCGGCAGTATTCCAGGAGGCAAATCCAACTGCCAATTGGCAGCGAAGGCTCCAGCATTCCCCGACGGCAGCAGCTCAGCTCAGTTGACCGGTGGTAGGCACAAGTAGCAAAGCCCTGATGAGCCACGTGCTGGAGCTGTGATAATGTGCTGAAGCTGACCAGGCTGTTTGATATTTGCTGCAAGGACGCTAGCCAGATGAATCCCGGATGGATACTGGGAGGCAGAGGCAGATTTTTTTTCCTTGTTTTCGTCCTTTAAAGCTGGTGTGCGTCTTATAGTCCGGAGCGTCTTATAGTCCGAAAAATACGGTATATCAAATCATTGAGCTATAGTCTGGAAAGGATCGGTAGAGATGACAGTGAAATGTAGATGGCAGACCGATAGGCTTACCGTATTTTTCAGTATATAAGACACACCTTATTTTGGGGGGAGGTAAATAAGAAAAAAAAATTCTGCTTGAGAGGTTCTCCATTTGAGAGGCTGCATTTGCAGCCTCCAAAAGCTCCGTTTGCAAAGGAGCTTCTCTTTGCAAAGGGAGACTCTCAAACGGACCTTTTAGAGGCTGTTTGAGAGGCTCTCTGTTTGGGAGGTTGCATTTGCAGCCTCTAAAAGGGTGGGGGCCGGTGGGTGGGCGGGACTACATTTGGTGTATAAGACACACCCAAATTTTCACCCTCTTTTGGAGGGGAGGGAGTTCATTTTATACTCCGAAAAATATGGTAATTCCATAAAACTAATTAGTGAAAAGAGCTGCTATACTTGAAAACTAGATGAAGACATGGCAGATTAAGCCTAATTGGATAGAAGAGGCCTTTGGGACAGCAAAACATATGCTTTGATTTCCAGTAAAGTTGATGAATATTGAAGAGTGAATATATAGAAAAGTATAACTTTCCAAGAGAAGATCTATGTTGCACTGGAGAAAAGGAGTATTCTCAATAGTGGAGTCCTATTCTTTTTTATATGACACTTCCATTATGTTCGGTGTAAGAACTACATTGTATTGTGGGATGTTAACCATGTCAGACAAAATCACACATAAATGATTTGCTGTCCCTTCAAACAAAGTCACAGATGGTGTAAGTTGTCTTTTCTAATCTTTATAAATGCTTTTCTTCCCATAAGCCTCACAAAAAGATTTATCAACCTAAACGCAATCTGCATTTGCCAGCAGGATTAGTCTTGTTTGTTGCAAAAGTAGTTTATGTTCCCCACTATATATTTTGTGTTTTGTGAATTAAAGATGTGTGATGTTTTTGAGGAAGAGGATAGAACATTAAGGGCAAAAGCTAGCTTCTGCATAATTTTGTGTTGTATCGACAAGTTACCTTGTAAGAGCAAGGACCACAATTGAATTCATGACATTAAGAAATAGAGTTTTCTCTTTAGAACTACAAATATCTGATAGAATCACAACTGCCTTTTGAGATATATGAATTTTATGCTGGGTTTTTTTTGCTAATTATTTTTTACATTTATTTCACAAAGTAACGGTCCAGTGAAGCAGTTTGACCATTAAATTAATGTTTCCAGCCCTGTAAAATCTATTTTGAAATAGGTCATACTGATAAAGTACAGTATATATTTAAAAAACCCCTCACATTTCATTTATAGATGACTTCCCGTGGCTTGAATGTTTCATCAAATCTTACTATGTCCGAGATGGAACAGAAAACCGACTTTGCTATCAAATTTTTGATACTACAGTTGCTGAAGATATCTGAGATCTAACTGCTGAGAAGATTCAAAGGTTATAATTTTTAAACCTTCCTTTGAGCAAATAAGCGGCATAGCTGTTTTTAATAATGTACTTTTCTATCATGTGCGTAAATAAAGAACTTACCTGAGAGTATAATATTTTGTCAGAGTTTGCAGCGGTCCAACCAGCACACAAGTAAATAATTCAGCAGGATTCATTTATAGAAGAAATTTGTTTCTATACAATAATATAAAGCATGATGCATACCCTATTTCCCCCAAAATAAGATATCCCCAGATAATAAGCACAATTGGGCTTTTGAGCACATGGCAATAAGGCCAAGCACTTATTTCAGGGTTCAAAAAAATATAAGACAGGGTCTTATTTTCAGGAAAACACGGTACATACCTATGCAGCAGAAGCCAGAACCAGAAAACCAGAACTCAGAATCCAGAAGCACAGAAGCCTTATATATGTACAGACCAGTTAAGCTAAGACACGCCCAGGCTCCCATGGCTCACGACAGATCCTGTTTCTTAGTCACCAAACAGCTCCCATTGGCTGACTTCTTGTTATGGCTATCCCAACTCGTAATTTCTTATACACTGACATATTTAAATGGGACGTTCTATTTTTCTCTACAGAAAACCCATCCCTGTTCATTGAAATTTCTTTGCATTTTTTTCAGGATAATTTAATGAACACTGCATCCAAATTCTTAATCTCTATAACCACGCCAAATCCTGAACGTTTCACAATCCTTTAAATTAATTTTTTTTCTTGCATGAGGTATAAGCACAACTGATCTACAGGTAGTTCTCAAGGATGCTAATTGGGACTGGAAGCTCCATTATTAAGCAACATGGTCACAAGTTGAAACACTGTGTGACCACACCACAAAATGGCAGTCTCAGTTGCCATTGTTAAGTGAGGACATCACAAGTCATTAGTGATAGCGATAGCACTTAGACTTATATATCGCTTCATAGAGCTTTACAGCTCTCTTTTAAGTGGTTTACAGAGTCAGCATATTGCCCCCAACAGTCTGGGTCCCCATTTTACCAATCTCGGAAGGATGGAAGGCTGAGTCAACCTTGAGCCAGTCAGATTCGAATTGCTTGCAGTGGGGCAGAATTAGCCTGCAATACTGCATTCTAACCACTACACCACCATGGCTGATTAAGTGAAAACCTCACATGACTGACTAGCAACTTTCTGCCATTGACTTTGCTTCTCAGACGCCTGGGAAGGTCACAAATCACCATCATGTGACCGTAGGGACACTACAATAGCAGTAAGCAGTAGCAATAGCAGTAAGTATAAAGAACCAGTCATGACTACCATGACTGTCATTCAGTGCCACAGTAAGTTTGAATGGTCATTAAACCAGGACCACCTATATTTGATTCATAAGATATTCTGAGCCCAGCTTAAATTCTGTCATGTCAGAGGACTTCGATGTAAGAAGGGCAAGAACTAGAAAGTACAAATTTAAGTTCATTACAGCAAACGATGGTTAAAAGAGAGGTACAGCTTTTGTATGCAAGGGTTCTCCACCAGTACTACATGGTTTCCATATAATTACTGTAATTATTTCAATGCAGTAAATCCATTTACAATTTAGTTTGGGTGCTTAAAATACAGTTAGCTTTATATTTTATTATTCCAAAACAATGAAGCAATTTCTTTTATGCCGAAAGAAGAAGAAAAAAAACATAGGAGCTAAAGCCGTAATGCCCACTTCACTAGAATGCTCCTGATTGTGCATATAAAACACATGCATTAAAGTAATAGCATTTGAATCAAAGATGTGATATAGGCATACAATAGGGGATGATTAAATTATGAAAAAATGTAATACCAAATCCTTTCATTAAGTGATGCATGTGGTTGCCTTTTAATGCATTTCCTAAGAGATAGCAAATAATCTAAGCGGCTAAATTTGGTCTTGGGTTACATTCCTGCTAATCCACTTTCCTCTTTTGTATAATCTGGTTTACTTACTAGTTTAAGATATTAAGATTTTTCAGTCTGATTCTGAAAATTGAAACAAATTACTGTTGGTTGTGTTTTTCTTGTCTTCCAGTGGTGGTGTAGTGTGTGCATGTGTGTGTTTGTGTATTGAATTTATATAAAAATATGTATAATTGTGCTTGCTATAGAACATGGAATGAATGCATATATGTAAATCCTTTTTCACCCCTGTAGTGTGTGGGTAGTATGTGTCTTCCACCAAAGACCTGGGAATTTGAGGGTTCTGCACAGAGCTATTCCTAGCACAGCACTCTTTTGGACAGGCATCTCTGACATTGTTCCTGGGATCTGTTGGGGCCATTCTCCCACATTAGGAGTCACATTCTCTCTAGTTCCTCTTTCAGATCCTAGTATTTATCCAGCTTCTCATACTCTTTCTTCCTGATTACTTGGCATTGCTATATCTATCACCATTTCTGTCTTCTGATCGTTTACTACCATGATGTCTGGTTGTTTAGGCAGGCTCTGCTTGTGCAACTGGATCTGGAAGACCCATGGGAGTTTAGACCTACTATTCTCCATGATGGATTCTTCCATCTGGATTTGGGAGAGTCTAGCCCAATGCACTGTGCAGATGTTCCTGTACACAATGCCAATTACTTGGTTGTGCTGTTTAGTATATGTTGTTCCTGCCTGCATCTTATACCTTGCCAGTATATGTTGGACTCTCTGTGAGGTCTCTGCATAGTCTACACCTTGGATCATCTCTAGAATAGTAGAGCCTTTCTTCTATGTATCTAGCTCTTAGTGCCTATTCTTATGGTGCTATGATCAGTGCTTCACTGTTGTCTTTTAACCCAACCATTGGTAGGATTTCTCAATGTCAGGCACCTCAGCTATCTGTTGATGATGTACCCCATACTGGTCTTGCCATTCTCTGCTTGATTTTCATTCCTTGTCTCTTGCTGCCTCTGATATTCTTTCAGAAGCTCATCTTTGTGTGCCATCTTACTGATGTATTCTAAGATGCGCTGGGTTTCGTGAGGATTTCGACACTTACCAGTCCCAACAAGCCCTCTTTCTGGCTGGTGTACAATCTCTGGTGTTGGACTTGGTAATCTCCATACATTGCAAGGCGCTTCAAGATCTTTACATCGACAGTGTCCACGTCCTCCTTTGGCCAGCTCACTATATTGGCAGGATATCTGATAACTGGCAGGGCATACCTGATGATGGTATGGTTCTAGTTCTTCTCATTGAGCTGGCCCTTCAGGGTCCGTCTTATACTTCAGTTGCATTTGGATGTTGTTGTCTTCCTTGCCTTATCATCATGGTTCACAGATTTTTGAAATATTAAAATACTCAGCGAGTTTAATATTCACATCAGGTTTTGGTTACTATACAGCGCTGTCACAGCCAAACATTTCTGCTTATTTCAGTGGGATTTAACATTTGCCTACAATTGAATTAATTGACAGAAACAGATTGCCTTGCATTACCTATTGACTACTCCTAATGCTCCTAAATAAAGTTATGTTCATCATTTTTGTAAGTGGAAGAAAATGCTGTGGAGAGTATTTTATAGGAAGTGCATGAAGCAGTTAGAATTTCAATGTAAAGAGGCTTCCTGATGTATGATAAGGTGTGTAGTAAGGTAAGTATAGGATTTACAATGCAGAAGTTAGAGATGTTGCGATAAGTAGGACTGTACATTCAGTCAACTTTTAAAACTCTATTGTTTTTATTTCCATATATTTGTAATCTAAATTTTTACCACTTATTTGTAATTTCTCGACAAAACAAGTAAGCCGCTCAGGACAGGTTTTAAACTGGTCCACAGCTTTTATTTTAGGCTACTGATTAGTCATTAGGAAATTTTGGGCTATGCAGTAAGTTGGATTCAAAGGCTGAGAAAAACTGTAGAACACTTGCTGAACTTTCCCAGAACATCTGTTTTCCACTAATAGACCTCAGTCAGTATATCAATAAATTTTTACTACTGTTTTTCCTAATTTCATTAAAATGATTCTACTCATGCTTATAAATAACATTTGAATATAAATTTGCAAGTAATCAGAGAGATTTAGTACACATATGAACACAATCATATATTAAGAAGAAACATCATACAATGCAAGTCTTTGGAAAGATGCCGAATATTAAAACAATTAAAACTTGAAATATCAATATACCATTCAACCAAATGTGTTATTTCCATTGGGAGAAGTTTGCTTATAAAGTTCTAACAATTTACATTAACAATTTACAAGGTTTTTTAATTTTTTAAAATGTAATAAAAATTTAACAATACACTGACCAAACATTAAATATGAAAAGGAAAGAAAAAACAAACTTAATTTGGAAGCAAATATAAGTGTAGTTAATACAGTAAAATAGGAGTAAGTTTTAAACATTCACATACAGTATTTATACACAAAAAGATACTTATATAATGCTGCCAACCCCACTTGGTAGATCAGATCAAAAGATCAACTCCTGAAGTCAACCAGAGCTACACTTTACCAAGGGGCTGCACACAGAAGAGGAAATGAACCAAATTTCTAAAGCACTAGAAGGCAAGACAAGAAGCAATTGATGGAAACTGAACCAAGAAGCAACCTAGAACTACAGGGAAATTTCGTGACAATAAGAACAATCAACCAGTGGGACAACTTGCCTACAGAAGTTGTGAGTGCTCCAACACTGGAGGCTTTTAAGAAGGAACAGGACATTTGTCTAAAATGGTACAGGGTCTTCTGCTTGAGCAGGAGTTGGACTAGAAGACCTCCAACTCTGGTATTCTGTATTCTGAGATATAATAACAAAAGTTTGAAAGTCTGAATGTGCTGTACTTCCCAATACTGTCTTGCTTCCCAGGACTTAATATTTCACACACACACCCCTTTGACTAGGTTTTTTTTTCATATTTCTATCAAGGTCACCTTTCTTACTTACAGTCCTTAGTTAAGGACTAAGCACTTTTTGTATATATTTTTTACACAATAATATTTTCCTTATCTGTCAGCTAATAGATATTGAATATACATTTAATTTGGGTGGCCTAGAATTTATTTTTTAAATAAAAGCTAGATTAACCTCAGACAAGAGTGAAAATGCAATTTTCCGAATTGCTGACAGTTTGGTTTTTTTTAATTTGATTTATATGCCGTCCTCCTCCAGAG